TCCATTTTATCCCATTTAAGTTATTATTTATTATTTATTATAAAATGTAAAAATAATAAATGGAATCTATACATCATTATTCTGTAAATTATATATATTGATAATTCTTTTCCTAGAGATTTAAAACCAGTTTATTTAAATAATCTTTTTTTCAGATATATATATATGTTTTCCTAGATACTAAGGAAGAATATATAAGATTCAATAATACCTAATGTAAGTATTACATATTTTTTCATAAAAAGTTATTCATTACAGCAAGTACGATCAATTTTTAAAAAAAGATGTATTTTCAAAGAAAATCTGTTAAGAAATGGCAAGATTTACTCTTAACTTCTCAAACCCTAAAATCTAAAATTTATATTTTTAAAGTTGTAATTAATGTTTGTTTGTCTATTTGTTTGTATGTCCGATCATAGCTCTTGAACCCCTGGAACAATTGCCTCAAATTTTGATTGAGGAAACTCCGTTAAATCTACGGAAAATTGGAACTGGAGTCTAGGTTGACTTTTAAAGCAAAAGTTTAGTTCTGGGCAAAGCTGTGTTCCCAAGCTAGCTTTATTAACATATTAGATTGGGAACCCAGCTCTGTCTGGAACCTAATAATCCTAATCATTCCCGAGGTTCAATTGAGTTCCCCAATCAACCTTTGAGGCAAATTGGTCCAGGTATTCATGAGTTATGATCGGACATGGAAATAAACAGAGATTACTACTTTATATTTATATTGCCAATAGATTCTCTGAAGATGTCTGGAGATTTACCTGGAAACCTGGCCAAGATGTCTTTATCAGCCCCCAACATGAAGAACAAGTACACCTTGAACTTGAAGAATAACAACACCAAATGCGGTACCTGCAGCTTCGACATTGCTTTCACTAAGAACGCCTTGCTGTGCCCTAGATGTGATTTTCATTGGTTCTGTAGTCCACAATGCCGGGATCAATGTAGGGAGGATTACTGTGTACCGGAGATGAACTCTTTCCGCTGTGACTCTCTGGACTCCTTCTATCACTATATTCTGAGCTCCTATAAAGATTTGGATACCCTCAACATGGTGAAAGAGTACATCAAATCTAAGGCTGGAGTTTCTAGGGATAAGATCAAGAAGCTGGCTGAGGCAGGAGACTGGAAAGCCGCTCTAGTCCTGGGTTTAACCTATGAGCTGAGGTTTATCTGTGACTGGAGTAAATGTAAGTTTGCAATCCGTCCACCCTACGAGAAGAGTCAACTGTTTACCAACAGGAAAGCTATCAAGTACTTCAATATGGCGGCTGATCAGAACTCTGTAGAAGCGTATGCACAACTGGGTACAGATAGAGAGGTTAATGATTACGCACTCAAGAGTTTCCGAAAGATTGAGTGCTCCAAATTTATCCTTCTCACCAAGAGTTTTCCAGAACTACGCATTGTGTCAAATGATATCAGGGAGAAATACAGGAAGGGAGAAGAGCTTGAACTTCCTAACCATGGAGTCTCTGGATTGATATTGTTCAGATTGCTCGAATTAAACCCAAGGTCTCCTGTTCTCAAAGAGTATTTACTTCTCCCTAACATTGCAGAGGTTTTTTCTCTTCTGAAATCCTGTGTTCCGCAGCCAAGAATTGTTTTCTATTCCAATTTGTTCATGTTTCATGCTAAACGATCAGTTGACAATCTGATCTTTTCTCAGAAGGCTGATGTGTTCCGTGGTAAGGAGACTACTCTGGTTAAAGTAGATCCTGGAGTAATGATGGATGCTAAGGCGATATATGATAAGGGATTCTTCCAGAGACTGAATAAAGATCGTCCACTGTATCTTTGTGAGCATGATCTAAACACTGTTGGAAACACCTGCACTCAATGTGCTCAGCTGGCTCGGGAAAGGATTCTGAGTGTTTATGAGAACAGTTTTCTGTTAAGCAAAGATGAAATCGTCATCGGTGAAATCTACAGTGCTATCTTCACCCTGGAGTCAGGATTGAAGAAACAAGACAACTTCAGGAACTATGGAAAATATGAGATCATAGTTGCTATTCGTGTCATGGCTCTTCAGCCCATGGATCTACATCCTGTACAGCTTGCAAAGGATCCTGACATGTACTGGCCAATTGTTCACTACTATGGGTCTGTGTACTCTGCGTTGAAGGAAATCCTGGATGGAAAGATGNTGATCATGAAAATGTATGACACTAGTTTGAAATTATTGTATTACAGAACAAGGTCAAAAAACCTAAAATATAAAAGCATTAGATCATTGACATTACAATATTTATATACCTTCCTTTAAATATCTCATTTATAAAATTCCTGAATAAATGTTTACATTAGATAAAAGTCAGAATTTGTAGAGGTATAGATTTAGGAGTTTTTACAAATATAAAAGTTACAAGGAGTTGTTAAAAACATTTCTTTTATTTTCCAGGTCGTCTTGATTTTTCCATCAGTTTAACTCCTCCTGGCAGCTGCTCCTGTATCTGTGGTTGTATAAATACTCCTGTGCTACTCCTGTAGCTGTGGTTGAAGAGAAAACTCATATTAGCTACTCCTGTAGCTAGGTTTGAAGAAAGTACTCCTTAGCTACTCTTAGCTGTAGTTGTATAATTAATCCCGTGCTACTCCTGTAGCTGTAGTTTTAGAGAATACTCATATTAGCTACTCCTGTAGCTGTAGTTGTAGAAATACTCCTGTAGCTGTAGTTGTAGATAATACTCCTATTAGCTACTCCTTTAGCAGGTTTGAAGAAAGTACTCCTTAGCTACTCTTGTAGCTGTAGTTGTAGAAATACTCCTATTAGCCACTCCCGTAGCTGTAGTTGTAGAAATACTCCTGTGCTACTCCTGTAGCTGTAGTTGTAGAGAATACTCCTATTAGCTACTCCTGTAGCTGTAGTTGTAGAGAATACTCCAATTAGCTACTCCTGTAGCTGTAGTTGAAGAGAATACTCCTATTAGCTTCTCCTGTAGCTAGGTTTGAAGAAAGTATTCCTTAGCTACTCCTGTAGCTGTAGTTGTAGAAATACTCCTGTGCTACTCCTGTAGTTGTAGAGAATACTCTTATTAGCTACTCCTATAGCTGTAGTTGAAGAGAATACTCCTATTAGCTACTCCTGTAGCTAGGCTTGAAGAAAGTACTCCTATTCAAGGAAGGGGGAATTTTAAAAACTTAATATTGGAGATAAAATAGTCACAGAATTTATTGCCAGGAAAGTTACTTGCACTGGTCTCACTACTCCGTTTAAGTCTCCTGGAATGGAGATTTTATTAATTGAGTTTTTTAAACAAATTAATGGCTCCATGGTTTCAAACTATTAATAAATAATGGGTAACTGGCTATTATTATTATTATAGTTATTACATTACAATAATTATGATTTTAGTTCTGTGATAATACAGAGGAAGCTACTTTACACTGTATTGCTCAGTTTAATGTATAAAGCTAGGGTTTAATATTTACCAACTTACGATATCTTGTGTAGGTTGGTTTGTCAGGACGGAGAACTAAAGATAAACTCTATGATTGCTAGTCTCATCTTCTCCGAACTCAGTTCGACCTCAGTGTTCAACTTAACCCTGTGTGAGTATACTGTGATACTACCGGATTTCAAGATCGGAGAAATTATCTCTCTGGTTCAGGACGTGCTCCGGTTAACTCCAGGTTCTGATGTAGAGTCAAACGGATACACCAGTGTTGTTGAGCACCTTGAGCAGGATAAAGATGAGTAAGAAAGTTTAAAAGAAAGTTCAGATAATCTCCCGCCTTAAAGATGTAATTCAAATATGAAGAAATCCATGAAGTTTTAACAAAGGTGAATTAATTAATTATCTTGAATTATTTTTTACAGAGGAATAATTAATATCTACTTATATATAATTCAATGTTAAACCCACGTTATAATTTCCCTTTAAAAACTTTAAAGTGAAACATGATAATATTACTAGGTTCGACTGAGGACGTATCTAACATGTACATTGTACAAGTCTGGAGTTATCTCTGATTGACCTGGAAACCTGACCGAGATGTTCAAGTCTGGAGATATCTCTGATTTACCTGGAAACCTGGCCAATATGTCTGTATCTACCCCCAATGTAGAGAAGAACTACACTTTGAACCTAACACCAAATGCTGCTCATGCAGCTATGATATTGGTTTCTCCAAGGATGCGTTGGTTTGTAACTGTAGTTTACATTGGCACTGTAGTACACATTCATAGATATACAATAATATAAATCGCTAATGCAGACCAGGGAATAAGAAAAAAGGGAAAGGAAATGGCGCTGGTCTGGCATAAGAAAGCCAGTCGCACTGCTTTGCAGACGAGTTCGGTATTACACACGCACACTCTTTTGGTACAGACACACAACATAACTACAGTCAAAGAAATTGCAGAACAATGTCGTCAATTATAATTAAGCTTGAATAACGAGTAGTTTATTGTAAACATTATAAAGGAATGGAGTCCTGTGTTAGAGCTTGGGTAGAGTTCTATTGATTGATTTCGGTGAGATCTGAGTGGAATACATCCTGGGTCAGCTCAGGTCAGAATCTCTGAGCTGGAGCTAGATTTCTTGCTTACATGGAGTCCGAGGTGAGACCAGATACAGTTTCCTGGGGACACGGAGTTTCCAGGTTCATGAACGGGTTCAACTGGTTGAGGTGTCTGTCAACAACTATCTTGCGTCCTCCTACCTCATGACGATAGCTAATGGTGGGGCCGTAGACATCTCCGTTCTTTCTACTAAGGAGGTGCTCTACTCTGGCTGCTGAGATTGGGTTTTTGTAAATAGGTTCTTTCTTGAACAGGACTATATTCCTGACCTGAGGGATATTGCTCTGTTCCTTCCAGGTGGCAGTGAACTTGCGCCTAGTATACGCTTCCTCCCATAGAGAGTGGAACATGTTGAGGACGATGTTCCACCTGGAGATTTGCTGGTTAATAGGAGCGACGGGGTTGACCTTGTCTCCAAAACACTCTGAACCCCTGAAGAACATGGTTAGGAGTGAGGGTGATGCCCAGTGGAGCTCTGAGGATTAATTCAGAAGGAACACACTATTCTGAGGAATGAGTCCTTGACAGAAGTAAGTACTGATCTGAAGAATTTTAGAATGTCGTAAACCGCAAAGTGAGGGTGGCATCTGGAACAAATTAGGATTCCTCTCATATTAGGAACATTTGCAGGTGCAGGCTGGGAGACATCGTTGAGGCTGAGACCAGTCTCGGTGTGCATGGAGCTGTCGGTGGTCATCCTGACTTTGGTAGAGGAGCTGGTGGAGGATACCACAAAGTTGTAGGCTACAAAGTGGAGTTGGTGCTCATTCTGTGATCGTCAGGATTGATCTTGATATAATTTCCATTGTTGATTTGTTGATTGATGTATTTGTCCATTTCTGCCTCCATTTCAGGTTTGTCGGAGATTCTAACATGCAGAGCATAGATCCGCTTAGTTGCACAAAAATAATTTTCACCAAGATTTGGAAGATTCGGTTTGTAGAGACAATTTACTTGAACCTTGTTCTTGATGGGGTCTATGACGGTGTTGTCCATAATGGCCTGAATACCCTTCTCCTTGGTGATTTTGAGGAGCTGGTCTCGCATTGGTGGGGCTGGTGAAATCTTCAGCTAAGGTGAGGAGAAGAAGTTGACCTTGCATGTCCTGCACTGTCAATGTCTTGATGATGATGGTGTTGATGGTGTTGGCGAGGAGGGACTTGGACCAGGTGACAGAGTTGGGTGAGCTGTTGTTGAGGTCCTCCTCTATGGTAGACAACTTCAGAGTCTTGCCTTGCATCCTCAGCTTGACAGCAGCAGTGAGTACTGCTTTACCTTCACCAGCATAGGTTATATTCTTCACCTGGGAGGAAGTCCCAAGGGAGTACGTTGACCAAGGAATAGTTGAGAGGGCAGACCGTGAAATGAGGCTGAGTTGACAGCCTGAGTTGTATTGGATTCCTATCAAAGCATTTCCCAACTTAGCATGGTTTCCACCAAGGGGACTGACTTGTTGGCGCTGACCTTTAAGTCCGTGATGCAGGGGGCCTGGTTACTGTGCATGCAAGCCCTTTTATTCAGGGGGATTCCATTCTGGAGGCAGCCCTTGGGACACAAAGGAGGGGGAGTTGGTGTCATCGTTGTCCAGTTCCTTGTCTAGGTTGCGGACATGGTCGGTGGGTGTGTGACAAATCATGCATCCTTGCAGACGACAGGGAGTGTTTCTTGTACATCTTTGAACATCCTGATAAGGGGTTTCAGGAGGTGGGTCATTAGGAGTATCCTCATGGAGAGGAGTATTGGGATTCAACTCGAGGTTTTCTTGAAGAACAGGAACCATAGATCGAAATGTAGGCCCCAAGAAAATTGATTCTCTAGACGAAACAACAAGCAAGTCAACTGAGATTGGTAGTTGAAGGATATTTATTTTCCCCCACTATTGGTCCAGATTACTGCAGCTGATACACAAACAGAACAAATCCGTCTCAAAAATTGATAATAATAAAATCGCTTTATTCTCTGAAAATTACATTTTGTTTTTTGTGGTACAAATAGTAAAAATAATGTTTATAATGGGGAAAAATCCTTACAATCTATTTAACTAAGTCGGGAACAAACAATGGTATGAACAGTACTAAAAAGACGTTTTAAACTTCTGAAATGAAATGACAATTGATTATCAATGAAATGCACTATTTTTATATGAAAATTATTCTTTTGTTTAACTTTTTGTAATAGAATCACTGCACGTGAGTTTTGTTTAGAACTTTGTCGGAGAGAGGAGGGGGGGGGGGGGTTGAAATTGTTTGGTTTGGTCGTCTCCGAGACGGAACTTAAGTTAAAGACGACTTTACAATGGAGAACTCCTTGTTAAGGGTTAACAAGGGTATCGTTACAAAAACCCTAAGTGAATAAATACTAAAGTGGAACAGACTAAGGCAACGACGACAGGTTGGATCATAAGGTTTTATTTGGGTTGGAAATAATTACATGAAAAGATTTCTTTTGAAAAGTAAAGACTAGAAAAAATAGACTAAAGACCCATGTAAATGTCGTCTTTAGTTATTTATTTTATATGCAAATACTATAAAGTCGCTTAATAAACTCATTGATTTTGTCTGGCATTTCAAATTATACAGGAATCTATCTTTAAAACTTCTTATTTTTGTTCTTTCAAAGCTCACTCCATTCCGAAATATGTATTAAATACTTGGGACATAAAATGTCGTCATCCAACTATGAGATTGGCCCACTTTAGTATTTAATCACTTTGACAAAAACCAGTTTTGAAACTAGGCCATTTTGTGGATATCAACATTTTGTTCTGAAATATTATTTCATTTAGCTTCGTTACATTCTTCATTTTTTTTTGAATTTCTTACATTAGAATTTACAGAAATGTTAAGTTAAGACCCCAAAAAGGAACTCGGGAGTTTCGTTCAACGATACTCTTTTAAATTTCGGGCTCTGGATAAATTACAAAACATCCAATCCAAATATATCAAATATCATATTGTATTTAAATTGATGAAAAATATTTGTATGATATATGTTGTAACTTGTAACAATGTAATAATATAAAATATCTGTAAAAACTATGTACGGTGTTCATATTTGTAGTTAAATATTATAAACTATTCTGTTTTCAGAAAAATGATAAATTGAAGACTATTATTATCTATATATTAAGATTTGCAGAACACCCTACTCTCAAGTTTATTTTAAGGTAAATTTTATGAAAGTTAAGGTAAATTAAGCTATAACTAAGATTTTTTGCATCTAGTGGATAAACCTTTGTATAGAATATAGCTGTAATTGTTTAAACAGTGGTAAATTCATGTTACAAAAATGCCAAGATAAATAAATAATTTTTAGTCCCAATACAGTCTTACACTTTTTTTCTATCCTCCAACCCTCCTGTTTCAATATAAAAAAATAATTTCAAGTACAAATGTACACTACAATCACAGATTTAAATAATACTAGGTTGGACTAAAGACGTATGATGGCTGAATCTGGAGATATCTCTAATTTACCTGGAAACCTGTCCAAGATGTCTGTATCTGCCCACAAAGTAGAGAAGAACTACACTTTGAATACAAAGATCAGTTATACCAAATGTTTCTCCTGCAGATATGATATTGGTTTCTCCAAGGATGCGTTAGTTTGTAACTGTAGTTTACATTGGTACTGTAGTACACAGTGCAGGGATCAATGTAAGGATGAACATTGCCTTCAAAGTCGTGAACTTGTCAGCTGTACATCTCTTAAATACTTCTTTTCAGCGGTTCTATATTTTCATGACACAAAGGCTCTAAACATGGTTAAAGAGTACATAAGTTCTAAAGCAGGAGTATCCAGGAAGGATATGAAGAAGCTGGCTGAGGCAGGTGACTGGAAAGCTGCTCTGATCATAGGTTTAACCTATGAGTTCAGGTTTGTCCTTGACTGGGATGAATGTAAGCTAGCAATCCGTCCTCCCTTCATGAAGAGCCGACCTTTTAGTGACAGGAAAGCTATAAAATACTACAATATGGCTGCAGAAGAAAACTCGGTTGAAGGATTTGCTGCATTGGGAAGGATACTTATTATCCAGAGGGATATGAGTCGGGCAATGAAAGATTATCTTATGAAGAGTTCCAACAGGTTTATGACTTCTCAGGATGTTCTTCGCTTCTATTGTTTTCAAGATCTAGTCGGCACACTAATATACTGCAAGCAGGAGTATAAGCAAGGAGAAGAACTGGAGGTACTCAGTTACGGCATGACAGGACTAATACTATTCAGATTAATCTTTCTTAATGATTCCAAATCCTCAAAAATTCTTCTCAATGAACTGTTACTCTTCCCCAAGATAGCAGGTGTTTTTTTTTTTCTGAAATCTTGCAATCCTGAACCTACGATAGTAAGTGTCTCTGTAAAAGATCATGTCATGAGATTGAGCAATGATGGTGGGTTCAGACCAGTGGAGAACCCTATCTTTATCCAGAAGGCTGATCTCTACAATGAAAAGGATAACACTGTACCAAGGATAGATCCTGGAGTAAGGATGGATGCTAAGGCTGTATTTGATCAAGGATATTTACAGAGACTGCACCATGATCAAACAATGTATAGCTGTGAGCATGTTGTAATGAGTATTGGGAACTCCTGCACTGATTGTGCTCAGCTGGCTCGGGAAAGGATTTTAAGTGTTTATGAGAACAGTTTTCTTTTCAGTGAAGATGAATCATTTACTGGTTCAGTCTACAGTGTTATCTATACCCTGAAGTCAGGATTGAAGAAACAAGATTACTTCTGGAACTATGGAAAATATGAAGTCATAACTGCTATCCGTGTTATGGCTCTTCAGCCCATGGATCTACATCCTCTACAGCTTGCTAAGGATCCTGACATGTACTGGCCAATTGTTCACTACTATGGGTCTGTGTACTCTGCGTTGAAGGAAATCCTGGATGGAAAGACGGTTGACAGTATCTATGAGAATATCCCGGAGTTTACTCCTGTGCCAGAGAGAATAAATAAAGTTGATGTGAAACAGTTTGTGATCAACTGTGGACACTTCCCCTGCGTTCATCTTGACTGGGAGTTCAAGTTCAAGCAATGTACCAGGTGTAAGCTGAGACGATACTGTAGTCCAAGCTGTCAGAAGCTTGACTGGAAACTACACAAGAAGGAATGCTTTCTCCGTCCTGGAAAGGAGAATACAGATGCCGAGGTGGATTAGATGAAGACTGAGTCCTGTCATCAGAACCTTGAGTTCCTGGACTTCCTGGATCTTCTTTATTGAAAATGTGGAATTATGTCACTATCCAATGATTATTCTTTGTAAAATATCCTCTTTTTCTCTAGTTATTTGTATATCATAATTATCCTTGTAAATTCATTTTCTTAAAATTGTTAGTATATCATAATGCAAGAGCACAATTTAATTCTTTAGTTTGTTTATTTTAATATTTAGAATTTAAATGTAGATTTTGATATATCAGATTATTTTAAAACTCATTCTATATCTAAGAAAGTAGTTAACAATTTAACCAATCAGCGTGTCATGTTAAGTACTCTTTAACTTTTGAAAAACCGGTTTTTTTTCTGGTGTTGATGGTGTCATATCAATTGAAATAAACAAAAAATTTGTCAAAATTCATTCGAAATGTCTATAACAATCCTGTAAATGGATATAGGATAGAACCAGGGAAAGGACTGAGATAATTCTCTAGATGGGTATAGGATAGAGATATCTTGAACCAGGAATAGGACGGAGATAATCCTCTAGATGGGTATAGGATAGAGATATCTTGAACCTAGAATAGGACGGACTGAATCCTCGAGATGGGTATAGGATAGAGATATCTTGAACCAGGAATAGGATGGACTGAATCCTCTAAATGGATATAGGATAGAGATATCTTGACCCTGGAATTGGACGGAGTGAATTCTCTAGATGGGTATAGAATAGAGATATTTTGAACCAGGAATAGGACTGAGATATTTCTCTAGATGGGTATAGGATAGAGATGTCTTGAACCAGAAATTGGACGGAGTGAATCCTCTAGATGGGTATAGGATAGAGATATCTTGAACCTAGAATCGGACGGACTGAATTCTCTAGATGGGTATAGGATAGAGATATCTTGAACCTAGAATAGGACGGAGTGAATTCTCTAGATGGGTATAGAATAGAGATATCTTGAACCAGGAATAGGACTGAGATATTTCTCTAGATGGGTATAGGATAGAGATATCTTGAACCTAGAATAGGACGGAGTGAATTCTCTAGATGGGTATAGGATAGAGATATCTTGAACCAGGAATAGGACGGACTGAATCCTCTAGATGGATATAGGATAGAGATATCTTGAACCAGGAATAGGACGGACTGAATTATCTAGATGGTTATTGGATAGAGATATCTTGAACCTAGAATTGAGACGGAGTGAATTCTCTAGATGGGTATAGGATAGAGATATCTTGAACCAGGAATAGGACGGACTGAATTCTCTAGATGGGTATAGGATAGAGATATCTTGAACCAGAAATAGGACGGACTGAATTCTTTAGATGGGTATAGGATAGAGATATCTTGAACCTAGAATAGGACGATAGAATCCTAAAATGGATATTGTAGTATTTAAAGCATGGTGTAATATTTAGAATATAGCCTTAGCCTTAGCATCATTATTTAATAGGAACACTCGAGATACAGAGCAGACAGGATCTATTGGACATATAGAAGCTCCATCTTCTCTCAATGGAGACACCCCAAGATATGGAGCAGCTAGAATACCATGCAATATAGACCAATGACTCCAGGTGAAGAAGAGATCATGATGATCTACGAGGACGGGATCTATCGTCCTCCTGACATGATTGAGAGATCAAGAGATATCATCATACTCATCTGTAGATCTCATCACGAGAGTCCACCATACTCAGCTGTAAATCTCATCAAGGGATTCCACCATACTCATCTGTAGATCTCATCAAGGGACTCCACCATACTCATCTGTAGATCTCATCAAGGTATTCCACCATACTCATCTGTAGATCTCATCAAGGGATTCCACCATACTCATCTGTAGATCTCATCAAGGGATTCCACCATACTCATCTGTAGATCTCATCAAGGGATTCATATCCTGTAGCTTCTAGAGCCGGACCAATTGCTCTCGTACCAGCCCGTCTGAACTACCCACTGGAATATCCTGTATACAGAGGAGAACTGAGATATTCATAGAAAGAGACTCTGGGAATTACTCAGGGAGCAGCTCAAACTGTAAGTACAGCTAACATAGCAGAGATCTAGGAGCAGCTCCGTTTATAAAGTATAAGCAGCTGGGAATGTACTGGAGGCATTCCATGTTGAAGACAATAATCATTATTACAATATAAGTTTAAGTTGTCTTTAACAAGGAAAAGGACAGAGAGATGGATATGAGATTACAATACCTTAAACCAGACGGAATAAAATTAAATAGAAATAAAGTGTTGATTAATGAAAGCTGTTAAATTAATCCAGTCTTTGCCACAAACTCTAATTTTTCTAATCCCTATATCTTTGCAACACTATGTCACAGACCTTAGATACTTCAAAAGTTCAAACTATGAATTCAGTTAGATCAATTAGTCCTAAGTTGGAAATATTAAAGGTTTACAACAAAAGGTTTTAAGATAAAGGGATTGTTTTTTATTAGTCTGAAAGAAAATAATGTTTTCAGAATACTTATGAAATCATGATCATAATTCTATTTAAAGGTATTGAGATCATGATAAGAAAATTTACTCTTTTGGTTTTTGAAAATTTTGTTATTAAATTTTATTTATTACGAATAAAAAATATCATCGTATTGTTAAGTACAATATATATCTTTATATATACTTTGCTTGTTTTGTAAAACCTCACATGACCCCAGGAAAGTTTTATAGAAGATCAAATTGGAGAGAAAAAAATCCTGAAAAATAGTTCGAATTTTTTTTTAAATGCGCCACAATTGGAAAAAAATTGTCGTCTTTCAGAGCAATAGTTAAAAGCTAAAATTATTTACAGGACTGGGAGCGCGAAGCGCCCTAAGAGTCTAGTCTTTTAGTGATAGACTTAAAATCTCAAAATCAAAAGTTCAGAAATGCAAAAATGTGCATATATCATTTCTATCAAATTCTAAAATTTTATTAAGCAATCTTAAAATTTGCAAGATTGTAATAAGAAAATTCGCAATGTTCAGATTATTCTGGGCTAACTTTTAAGGAAAACTTCTTTAAATCCTCTAACTTCTTTCTTTTTAGTATATTCTAAAGTTAGTCAGAAGAGCCACTGAAAAATAACTTTTCCTAAAAATCAGACCAGAACTGAAAACTGCGAGTTTTCTTATTACAAGTTTGTAAATTTTCTGTGATTCTGTGATTCAATCTTTATAAAATTTTAGAAAACTAACTGAATTGCCAGGCGTATATATGTAGCCTAAAGCTGGCCAAACGGCTGGACCAAATTGGCTGATTTGTTGAGGGGACCCATGGGGGTAACAAAAGCTGAAAAAATTCTTTTTCTCCATAAATCTGAATTACTTTTATTTCAGATATCAGATATCCTGAAAAATGTTCGGAGATGAGGAAAGACAACAAACTAGTAAAGAAGATGAATCTGTAGAGATGGACGAGGAGAATATGTTTCAAGATTCCTGGGAATCAGATGAGAAACATTCCAAGTATATCGAGAGAGAAACTGAAGAAGATTCCATTAAAGCAGAATACGTTGAGGTCAAGTTATTAGAAAATGCAAACTTGAATAGCAAATAAAAGAAACTGAGTTTTCACTTCTTACTCAAACTTTCTAATCCTTGTATCTATACAACCTAATTTGGTAAACCTTTGATATTTCAAACCAAAAATTTCAAGATCAAATAGTCGGAAGTTTAAAATATCAAAAGTTTACGCCAATATGAGGATGAACGGAATGACATCAATAAAAGGAATTGAGTCTTTGCCACAAACTCTGATTTTCCAATCCTTATATCTTTGCAACCCAATGTCTTAGACCTTATATATTTTAAACTAGGTATACTGTTAGAGCAAATTATCTAAGTTTGAAATATCAAAGGTTTACTCCATCAGGTTCCAAAGATATAGGGCTTTAAAATTTTTAGTTTGTGGCAAAAACTCAATTCCTTTCTTGATTACACAGACAATATTTTTGTATTAACCAGTCTCATGTTCCATGGTGCACTGGGTCGTATTTAGCCAATTCAAATCAAGGAAAAATCAGCAAAAGAATGAATACTCGCCACAAATTCTAATTCAAAACTTTTAACTTTGCTGGGTCAAATAGTCAGAATTTAAAGTATCAAAGTTTTTCATAATCAGCTAGAGGGTGTCCTACGAAACATGACTTGAAAGTCGTCTTAGATCTTAGAAATTATCAGTGACATTTTTGGAAATGCCATGACTAGGGGTATTTTGTGATTATTATCTCAATTTTACTTCCTTTAATTAGTTTGACAAATAAATGCAGCAAATTATAATAAAAATAAAAGACGACATTAAAGTATTCTTGCTACTGTCATGTAGGTTACATTATTGACGCACAGATTCTAGAACAACTACGACATGTCCAGTCTTACCTATGGGCAACGAGAATAGAATATATATATTAGAGTGGAATTTAGACAATCCTTTGGTATGAATTTTGTCAGTCCCTTTCAGCCTGAAAGGAAGTTCAAAGTATACAAATCATAGAGAATAGAATATATAATAGAGGGGAATTTACTAGAAAAAAGTGTAAAACGGCCATTTTGTTGTACTGTTTCCATACTGCAGGCGTACTTCACATATTTATGCTATATAACCTTTCGGGCCCTGGAATATCATTTTATAAAACGTTAATATTGTTTAACATAGACTATTGGGTTTCACTGTTCAATGAAGGTTTAAGCATTATTCTCAAGTTTGTTGGGAATTCTATGGATTCAATGTTTTTTTTTCAGAAAGACGATTTTAAGTCTGAATTGGATTCTTACGACGAAGCTGGCTCGGACGACGAAGCTGGCTTGGACGACGAAGTAGGTTCTGACACAGATGATGACTCTGACACAGGTTCTGAGGACGAGATATATGAGGTTTCCAGTAGGACTAGGAGGACTAAGAGGTAATAAACTCCGTCTTTCACCGGAAATTGAGTAGAATTAAATCACCCCGTCCAACAAGTGTAAGAGGGCGGCCCTGTAAAAATAGTTTAGAGGAGCTCTTTTTCTTTTGAATATTTCTGAAGTCGCCAGAATAAACGTAATTTTTTGGCCATTTTTGAACATTTTTTAATTTGAGTGTTAAAATGTTTGTTAAATCCTCAGTTTTTAATTCAGAATGCGCGATGTTTTATACAGTGAAACCCTTAATAAAGAATACATCGAAAGAATTCATCAAATGTCGTATTCTTCACTTTCTGATAATGGAATGTTGTAAATATTTAGAAGATCTTTAAAACTGTTCCCGCATATTGATGGCAATTTATTTATTTTCGCAAATACTGAAGTTTACGTAATATAGTATAAAACTCATTCAAAAATTGTCAAGACGACATTTGATAAATTCTTCCGATGTATTCGTTATTAAGGGTTTCACTGTATCAATTTAGAAATCCTAAATACTGTTTCAACTGACAAAATTTCATATAATTTGAAAATTCGTCAATTTATTATCAAATTCTTTAAAATCGTCGATTTTTTTGCTGCACAATTACACCTTAAGACCACCTTGGCAATTGAATAAAATGTTTATTTTTTCATTTTTATGTTTTCTGTAAGGTTCAATGTTTCTGCAATGTGTTTATTTATTCATATATCTTCAGAAATGGCCGACCTGTATGCATTAAAAAAATTGCTGGACCGGCTCTAACACTTGTTGGACGGGGTACCCTGATTTGGGGTTAGGTTAGATTAAGACAATTTCCGGGCCGAGCGCTGCGGCTCCTTAATAACTGTGCATCAGACCTACATATGTGTACATTTAACGTATAAAATGAGTGCATCCGACCTACAAAAGTTTTACATCCGACCTACAAAAGTTGTGCATCCGACCTACAAAAGTCGTGCATCCTACCTACTAATGTTGTGCATCCGACCTACTAAGGTTGTTCATCCGACCTACAAAAGGTCTGCATCCAACCTACAGTAGGTCGGATACACTAACTTCTTTTCCATTGAGTGTGAATGTATCCAACATACAGTTCATCAGACCAAAAAAAAACCACGTGCGGTTAGGTCCGAAGTATCGTAGGACGGATGTAACGTTGGGCGGATGTAATGCAATCCTAGTACCACCGTATTAAAAAAAATTAATACGCTCTCTTTTCTAACAGTTTAAAAGTCAGTAAATCTTAAAGATATGTTTATGACCTGGATCCGGATCCTGATCAATTCTTTTTTTGAGCAGATCCAGGATCCAGATCAGCATCAAAATTAAATGAATCCAAAGCACTGCGGCTAGAATTGTTCCTTTTTCTGACTTTTTCTGACTGTTTAGACCAATGTACACAAAGAAAGAGGACAGATCAATCATAAAATATCTCAAGGTTACGGGAGGCCTGTCTTTTATAAGGTAAACAAGCTTTTCTCTATTTTAAGGGTTTGTTGAAGAGTCACGTAAAATGACCTATTGTTAGGGAAGATTTGGGTTGGAAAACTTAAAAATATGTATGACATACGTATATATACGTATTTTTAGGTTTAGGAACACGTAAAAATACTTATTTTCCATACGTATGACATACATATTTTCGTAAAGTTCTTAGGTAAAAAAACCAATTGAAAAAACGAAAAATGGGGAAGGAAAAAAAAACTAAAAATCCAATGAATCAGGAATTTTTAAGTTTTTCCTATACGTAGATTTAGGTTTGAAACAATCCTAACATTTTTTGATTTTTGGAATTTATAGGTTTTACCTATACGTAAAAATACGTATTTAATATCTGTAAAAATACACAAATGAATAACGTAAAAATGCGTATGTAAAAAACCTAAAAAAAAATCCAATGAATCAGGAATTTGTAGGTTTTACCTATACGTAAAAATATGCATTTAATATCTGTAAAACTACGTATATGACCTACGTAAAAATACGCATTTTTCAAGTTCTAAGAAGTGGACTATAATTTTGCATGAGCATTGTTCTGAGGCGTATTCAGTACAATTTTTTAAGTAAAGAAAAAACCTAAAAAATACTTAAAAATACGTAAAATAAAAACCTAAAAACTTTAAAACATTGCTTGGTATGAAATTTACGAAAACATACATATTTTTAGGTTTGCATCAAACTTCTAAACTCGAAAAAAGAATACAATTTTTTAAGTAAAGAAAAAATCTAAAAAGTACGTTAAAATACGTAAAATTTAAACCTAAAAATTTAGAAAATTACTGAGTAAAAAGTATACGTAATTTTTCGTATAAATACGTTTCTGGAAAACCAAAGCATTTAAAAAAAAATTGCTTGATATGATAAATACGTAAAAATACGTAAGTTCTTTACCCAAAAGTTGAGCATACGTATTTATACGTAAATATACCTATTAATACGCATACCTATATAGAGACTTTGGTATTTTTAGGTTTTCAGGTTATAGTAGGGAGAAAGATATTTAATAATTCCTTGATATTTAGAGGAGATCTGGTTTGGAAGAGAATGGAGAAGGATGAGAACGTAGCTCCGGGTAGAACCTGGCAGTCCTTAAAAGAAAGGTAAAAAATAATGAGCGAGATTACCAGTTGTTGATTATTGTCTGTTTCCTTTATTGATGAAAAGTATTGTTAAGGTTTTTAGGTACAAATATATTTTAAATCACTTTATTTTACGTCAATAATTCAGGGGGCGGAAACGTCATGTGTGTGTGTCTGTACCAAAAGAGTGTGTGTAAGGTTACCGTACCAAAGGTGTGTACTGTAGGTTTATACAGTAGAAAGAATCTCGGTATTTGTACAGTCTAGGAGAGTACATTTGTTTATTGTTAATAGTTTACTAAGTTTAATATACCTGTAGCATATTATTTACATATTTAACACTATAAGCCAAATTTTCATGCAAAAATAACTACTTGATTAAAGTTTACAATAAATATAGTTGTTATTCAAGCTTAATTATAATTGACAACATTGTTCTGCAATTTTCTTGACTGTAATCATGTTGTGTGTCTGTACTAGAAGAGTGTGTGTAAGGTTACCGCACTGGTCTGCAAAGCAGTGCGACTGGCTTTCTCATGCCAGACCAGCGCCATTTCCTTTCCCTTTATTCCTATTCCCTGCAATAATTGTTTAAAACTAAATTCTTTTGACTCAATTAACATCTGAATTGTGTTTAGGATTAAACCCATGTTTAAAATATTTGATTTAGATTTAAGAAAAGGATTCTGAAAAACCTGAGAAAGAAGGATCTTGCTATGATGGAGAGAAAGGATAAGGAGAATAAGAACATAAGTTCAGAGGAGGAGGAGGGGACCCCCAGGAAACCATATAGTGAAACCGAAGACCAGAAGGTGAGTAGGTAGGTAGGTAGGTAGGTAGGTAGGTAATCTTTGGTCGAGTTAAAGCAAGAATATGCTCTGAAGATGGTTAAATAAACCGTAAATTTGTCAAAAAGAGTTTTTGCTTCACGGATCTGAAGTGTTAGATTTAGAAGAATTGTAGGTAGGTGTAGATATGGACGTACATAGGTAGGTACGTATTTAGAAGAATTGTAGGTAGGTGTAGATATGGACGTACATAGGTAGGTACGTAAGTAGGTAGGAACGTAGGTGTAGGTACATACGTAGGTAGGTACGTATTTAGGTAGGTACATACGTACGTAGGTTGGTAGGTATAACATAGGTAGGTATATACGTAGGTAGGCACAGACGTAGGTAGACACAGACGTAGGTAGGTACATACATAGGTAGGTACATACACAGGTAGGTACGTACGTAGGTAGGTAGTTAGGAAGGAAGGGAGATAGGATGGAACCGATCTGTTTGGCAACTCACATAACCCCAGACTCTGATAAGGTTTTAGGCCGCTCAAAACAAAACAAAAATACTTATACCAATTATTAAGAAATGGACGTATAGCACCCTGTAACCCTATTAATAAAATATTTGTATTTTAGATCCTGGCGTATATAAACGAGAATGGGTTGGAGAAGAAGGTTAGATAGATAGATAGATATAGATAAATATATATTTGACTAAATATTTAATTAAAAACAATTTAAATTGCACAATTTTTACATTTTAATTTAGTTTATTTTATTTAGTTTTAATTTAATTTAGGTTGGAGGAGTAAAGATGTGGAGGCAGATGGAGGAGAGAAGAGTACTCAAGAGAAGTGCCCAATCCATGAAGGAACGTTACAGGGTATGTTTGTTTATATCGAACAGAAGTTTATCTGAGATTGGAGCTTGGTATGAGATAGCGCTAAACAACATGTTTAACTTGATATCAACAGAGCTAACTTTTTATTTGAAGTAATCAAGTCTAAACCGTGAAAAGTATTTATTATTTTTGCTAAAGCCGATTTTTGGGGCGATTTATACAAATTATTACAAAACATATGGATTTGTGCTGCAGGGTGTCCCACGAAACATGTCAGTTGATAACCAGTTTTGAATGTCGTCTTTAATATGCTGTATTATGAAATTAAAGGCTTTTTGTAGATTATTTCGTAAATAAAATCTTATGCTCAAATATATTTTTTCTTTGAAATCAATTTTACCATAATATAACTCCCATAAAATATTTTTATTATTGTCTTTGGTATCAAACAACTTAAAAAATTATGGAAGAAGAAATTTTAAGTGTCATGTTTCGTGGGACACCCTGTATATTGTTGGATTAAGATACACAAGTTCAGACCTCGGTAATAACTATTCTGGTATCGGAAATCTTTGGATTAAATTAAAGAAGAAAATTTGAAATTCATAATTTAAATACTAAAAACATTTTAGCTTAACAGTTTAATATTTCCTTATTGTATATTTGTAAATATGCCCGTTAAATCTTTAACTAAGAAAGAAAGGGAAAAATATCCTTTTTTATTTAAAAGTGTTAAATTCTGTAAATTAAATGCTTTGTTGTCGATGCATAAATCCGTAAATTACTTGTATAGAAAACTACAAATAGAAATTATAAATTTTAGATTAGATTTAGATTAGATTTATTAGATTAGATTTGCGGAATAGTTTAAAGGAAAAATGAAAGGGGGTACACATAGGCTGATATCGTATTCAATTCGATATCGATCGCTACTAATTTTACTTTCATCTGTTATAAATATATGAAGAGAAAATGGTTTATATAAATTCACGGGGTTGCCTTATTCAATATGTATTTACGATCTGAGTGGAATAATTCAACTCTGTGAACACTCTTGGGTTTAAAATGTTTTATCCAATTTCTCCTTACAGGCGCAACAGAATTAACATTAAAATTAGAAGTCAACAATATCGAATTCAATTCGATATCATTCCATTTAAAGGGTATCGTTGTTTATCGGGTATTCCCCTGTTTAATTAGAATGTCACTTGAAATTACGTTTACAGTTCCTTAAAGTAATTTCTAACCTCTCATTTAGTTCTAATGTAAATATAATTTATTTTATTTTTCTGTTTCTTGAGACTTGCATAATTAATTTGCTTAAAATGTTTATTTAGAGTGCTTTAACAATTTGTTTTATTTAGAAGAGGATTAAACCATCATTTGATGATCCTTTGTCCGCATCACCAAGCAGCGCTATTCTATATAATCCTGATTCTCCAGCAAGACAGAGATCTCCCAGCAGCCCAACAAGATTTAGAGTCTTCTATCAGACATCTGCCAGGAGCAATTCAGCCGACAAACCCAACTCTAGAAGCCACTCACCCGACCTACCTAACTCAAGGAGCCACTCACCCGACATACCTAACTCAAGGAGCCACTCACCCGACATACCTAACTCAAGGAGCAACTCACCCGACCTACCTAACTCCAGGAGACGCTCACCCTGCAACCAAACCTCCAGGAGCCATTCACCCTTCAACTCAACCTCCAACAAGAACTCAGCTTGCAATGTTTTCCTCACTTCTGATCTACTGAACACCTCAACTTCCCAAGTGGTCTCATTGAACTCCTAAACCCTGCCATACTACAGAGATACAGTTTAAACCCTCTTTTACTTTTAATGTTTTGATCATTTTATTGCGACTTTGTGTCCGAAATATTTTATTGTTCTTTTTTTTCAGAAAAATGAAATTTTAATCATGGTCTCTCTTTTTCCGCTCCTACCTATATAGAAGGTATTATAAAAGTTGATACAAATTTTAAATAGTTTTCTTTTTATCTATTTATTTTTAATTCATTTTACCATTTCAGTCTACTTAACTAACCCTAACCTAACCTAACTTTCACGGTTACTTTTTCCACGGTCAAGGAAAAAAAGTACAGATAATTCTCAATTTCTTCACTCTAAACTCATATTTCATAGTTAAGTTACATTTTAATTTATTAAATATCTACATAAAATTAACAGGTTTAATAAGTATTATTTATGCATAAAATAACACAAATAGAACAAGAGAGAGAGAAAGGGTTGTTATTTTAGACAGGCAATTATTGAACATTTACATTAATCCCATAGCTTACAGTTACCCATCAAAACTTCAAGTCTCACTCAGTTTCATTTAGCCCATTGCCATTTTTATCGGTGGTATGTTTAACATACCACCGAAAAAAATGGCAATAGCCTAAAACTATGTTTGTGTTCCTTCTCAAAATGTCGTGAACTCTTGTATGTAAAATAAGACAATCCTCACTGATCTATCTGTATTCTGTGAACTAGTTATGCCCTAATAATAATATGATTATGCTAAAGTCTGTTTACAGGTCTGTAACCAGGGAAGTAAAGATTTGCTTTGGATTTTACCGCTCTACAACTGCTATCGGAGTTTCGTCCCGACCGTTCTTTCAGCTCCGACTCCGTCCTAGGAAGGAAGCCAGGCAGAATCTGCTCCCAGAAAACACAAACCCGACCTCTGAGATCCTCCCCGACCTCTAAGTTCTCCGTGTTAACGTTTACGTAGGACCAATTCGGGGCTGAGAACTCGGGCCACACCCTCTCCTCTCCAGAACCCATATCCCCGTTAGGATCGTCAAATTTAGCGAAATTTGTCCAGAACTTAATCATTTTTTTGCTGAGATTAATTTCGGTATCGGAGTTCCGTCGTCCAAGAGAAACAAGAGGTTCGCCGAACAAAAGGTTCATCTCCTTCCCAGATTCAAGATCAGAGGCGTCGTTGTCAAAGAAATATCTGAAGACTTTGTTCCCGTCATTGGAGACAGTTTTAGCAAGCTTGTTCACACCACACACAACCTGGATAATAACATTTTAGATACTTTCCAAGCAGTTTTATCACGTGTCAACTTCCCAAATATTTACAATTGATCAAGTGCGATCTTTCAAATGTATTCAGTGAGAACCAAGAAACTGTGAAATAGGAAGATGACATTAAATCAATACTCAAGTGTTCACAATGTTATTATTATATAACTTATTAAGTGAAATAGGCCTGTTTACACTGCACAAATACACTGTGTCTCATGTTCAAATTACATTTTAAAGTCATAACTTGCGTCTGAAAGTCGTCCTTCTATTCCAGATTTTTCTGGTTCTCACTTGCAATTTATCAAGTGTCACTTTTAAGTCAAAGCGATCGATTAGAACATCCCTTACCCTAACCCATTATAAACTTTACAGTAAACATATCTGCCTCATTCATCCAAAATTGATATTTTGGAAATAAACAATGCTCAGATGTTAACTTTATAAATCTTTGCACAACCCAATGTCGTAAACCTTTTATATTTCAAAGTATTAACTCTGTTGGATCAAATAATCTAAGCTTAAAATATCAACGGTTTCCACCATCCGGTTGCAAATTTATGGGGATTTGAAAATATGAGTTTGTTGGAAAAACTTCCCCTGGGATGTATTTTGGAAGTTGCCCTTGAAGATAAAATATTGTTCTGTTTGTTTATCTCATAAAATCTATATATAAATTTGGCTTTTCTGTCTGTTTATTTGATTGTGTGTCTGTCTGTTTGCATCAAATAAACGTAAAAACGGCTGAACCGATCGGGCCCAAATTTTTTGTGGGACATCAAGGAACCACAGGGAAGGTTTATGAATGATCAAAATTTCAAATATTTGTCTCCATCAAAATCCGATCTTCATTAAATTTTTGAAAATTTTGAAAATCCACGAAATTTTTTGTGAAAATACGCGAATTATTTTTGTTTTGTTTTACGATGTACACAAAGAGAACATGTTCACAATTAATTTAGAAGATGGGTGCAAAGCGCCCTCTAAGGCTAGTATTAAGATAAATGAATCACTAATTTTATTCAATTTTCTAAAAATGTTTAATAAATTTTACTATTAATCAAATTTTTTATAAAAAAATTCTTTGGTGTAAACCATAGATTTATTAAAATAAGAGATAGGACACTAGATGTCGTCTTTCCAAGATTTATGTGTGTTTCGTTTACAATAACCCGTGGCAGAAGCCCAGAGGAGTTACGCGTAGTCGGTGTAGAACAAGCCAGAGAGAGAGCCTGTTCTACGCCGACTACGTGTAACTCCTTTCGGCTTCTGTAGGAGGGTTATTGTGAACATAACACGCATAAATCTTGAAAAGACAACATCTAGTGTCCTATTTGTTATTTTAATTAATGTATGGTTTACACCATCAGAGTCTGAATTTAAGGAATTGTAGCCGCGGCTTAAATATGGTTGGTTCCACTTAAAATTGTTTTCAATGTTTTAAGATTTAAGCCGGCGTTAAATGACGGATTTGAGACACGACACAAATTCATAAAATTCGGACTCAGGTTGCAAAGAAATAGGGATTTGAGTTCCTCATAAGCATAGTTTTTTTTCTCGAATAACTAGAATCAACTTATCATGGTTTTAATTATGAAGACGGTTATCATTAAAGACGACTTTGATTCTTAGTTTAACTCCGGTAAACGTCGTCTTGAGTCTTTACCTCTTTATCTGCAACTGCAGCCTGCAGCCCCCAGAACCGTCTTGGATCATTCTGTATCCTCGCAAAACTATTCTCTTCAAATAATCCGTACTGGAACTTTATCAAGGATAGAACTGACTCCGGATACCTGAAAGAGCACAATATAAATGTTTTTCCGAGAGAAATAAGAAATGTTTTCTAAAACGTGAAATGTTAAGATCTTTGTATCCAAACATTATTTGCAATAATTAATTTGTAAATAAAAATTTAAACAAGTAATCCCTGTTTGTCTGTCTGTTTTTTTGGATGTCCAATCAAAACTCATGAACCCCTGGACTGAGTTGCCTCAAATTTTAATTTGGAAACTTGGTAGAACCACCGAAATGTTCCAAGCTAAGTTTGCAAATTTAAAGTTGAGTGGGTTGTCTTTTAAAAGTAAAATTTGAGACAAAGCAGGATCCCCAGACTAGTACTTTATATAGATAAACATTTCCTATTTTTAACAAACAATATGGTTTCGAACTTTTCGGACTGAATCCATTTCAATTGTGGTTTAGATATATAACGAATTAATGTTATGATAAATTCTATTTGCGTTTTGTAATGATTTTTCTATTATCCAGATTCCTAATGCTTAACTCTATGCTTGATTGGATTGGATGGGATGGGATGGGATGGGATGGGATGGGATGGTTTGGTTTAGTTTGGGGTATAATGCTTAACATAAGTAACATTTCATGATGATCCTATTAAACTCACGACTCTTGTGGAAAATTATACCTCGGGAATATTCTGTTGAGTGCAGAATCAAGTTGAAGAGATGAGAGTTCAAGTTTCACAGAATCTCCGTTAAGTTCAGGTAAAAACTCCATTAAACCTTTCAGGACCTCGTTAGAGTTGGTTCCTATCAGAAGATTGCTCTTCTTAAACAAGTTCTCTTCAACTGAAACCAGGATCATGATGATAAGTTCTTTTAGAGATTTTAAGAAACAGTCTCTTTGTGACTTTCTTGTGAACATTTCAAAAGTGCAAGATGTAGAGTGATAACCAGAAAACAATGGAATAAGACAATCGCAATACTTAAGTGTATTTGATGTTGTTGCAAATCAAAAAGTATTACTATTACTACTACTTATTAAATCACTAATTTAGTAAAGTGGGCTTGTTTCACCTGCACAATTGCTATTTATCATGATTATCAGACTTAATAGTTACGGCAAAACTTGAAACTAAAAGTCGTCTTTCTATTTCAGAGTTTTCTGGTTATGACTGTATATCTTATAAAATAGTCAACTACTAAAAGTTCTAATGACAGTAAGTATGGATGAGTTTATACTTTTAAAAAGTTTTAAAACGTTCAATGGGTTTGAATTGAACAAATGCTTCCAGTTTTCCTAAGCTGCCAGGATTTTCTACTGCGAAGAGTCCGTCAATGATTGGAGGAAAAGGGTCAGCATGAAGGGTTAGGTTTACAGCACTAAACTCCTGGTTAGTTAGCACCTGGGCATCAACACTCCGTAGACAACTCAACATAGTCTAGAATAAAAAAATGAGAATTTTTTAGATAAAATAAAAATAGAAAAATTTAGCTCGAGGAAGTGAATAAAATAAAATGATGATGTCTCAAAGTTAGCAGAGGTAACAATTTTTTGACCTGCACTCAAATGATTTATTGGGGAACCCAGCTTTGCCTGGAAACTAAACTTTCTCTAAAAAGGTCAAGTCACTCCACTTAGAATTTTAAAGCAAGCTAAGCATTCCCGTGGTTCTCCCGAGTTCCTCAATCAAAATCTGAGGCCAATCTGTCAAGAAGTTCATGACTTATGCTTTGACAGAGATAAAAGAGATTACTACTGTATATATATTATATATATAGATATTTAAATGGCTTTAAGAGAAATCGGACGGTTTTCATATTTTGAAACAATACTTATACAAGAATATATTTAGATTTACCTTATCATCTAAAGTAGCACAGTTTAGAAGTGAGGCTAGGCTACGAGCTCTCTCATCGGCCTGTAATATTAGAAATCGTTAACCCTAGTCATCCGGAATAATGCTTGAACCCAGGGGTGGGGTGGGGGGGGGGGTAAATAAGAGGTTAAAAACAGTTTCCCAAGTACAGTGACAGATAATTAATGGTTTTTATGTCTTTTAACTCAATATAGCATAAAAAGTAATTGAAGTAGTTGATCTTAAAAAACAAAATTAATTTTTATTTGATCTTGCAAAAATGAGGGGAGTAAAGGTACTACTCCCTTTATAATACCTGGTGTTTGTAGTAGTACTCCCTGTATACACCTGGAATCTTTAGACGAGGGGAGTGAATGTACTCTCTGTATACCTGGTGTCTAGAGATGAGATGGGTGAAAGTACTCCCCGACTGTAAGATCAGATTCCTGTAGAGGGAGCAGGATAGGGGTGAGACCAGGTGGAGGGAGGAGAGATCTGCTCCCTTGCCATATCCTACAATTACAAAGAGTTAAGAAATGTTCTTTGTTTTGAATTGATAAGGTGGATTAATTGTGTTCAAAAACACTTGTTCATCTTTAACTAATGTCAGCCGCGCGCACCAATATGCTAATTATTCTTTCTAGAATAGGCTTTCATGGCGCTTTATGCGCAGTTCTTCCTTGCAAAAAAATTGCACGATAAATTATCTTTAACTGTTACCATTAGAACAAAAAGGCTGGAATAGGAAGAAGACATTATAGCAAAACTTCACGATGGTGTATATTTAGACCTACGCAAATCCGCTAAACTCCACTTCTGACCTACGCCAAATCCGCTATACTACACATCCTACCTACTAGCACGTGGGTTTTCAGCTGCTATATGGACTTATGACCGCAGTGCCCGGCCAACTAGCCTGTCCTAGCCGCGGCGCTCGGTCCAGAAATTGTCTTAACCTAACCTTACCCTTAAATAATACAAACATGAACAGCTGACGTAGGTCCGACATTGAAGTAGGTCAGAAGTTCAGTAGGGGGATGTTGCGTATATAAAATCACTTATTAAGGGAAATTCGTCTGTTTACACCACACAATTACTGTGTTTTCTGTCATGGGACTACATAAAGTCATAAATTTAGTCTAAAAGTCGTCTTCTCATTGTATATATTTAAATTATCAAAAAAATAAAGATTTTGTAAAGTTTCGCGGAATTTTTTCTAATTGTAAGGGGAGCTTTCCTCAACTTTTGATTTAGCGGTTTAATGGATACACACCTAGGAGCGTAACCTTCTCCGGGTTCCCTTTAAACAGATCAATATTGGTTTGAATCCATCTCAGAGCCATTATCTGATCTAACATACCAGCATTTCCTACACATAGCTACGTTTTTCATACTTTTCCGCTGTTTTTAATTTTAGATAAATAGATTTAAGGTAAAATATTATTTGAAAATTTTAATTATTTTATTGCAACCTAGTTCAGAAAGGAATAGTTCAAATTTTATAATACCTTTATCTTTGCAACCTGATGGCGTAAACTTTTGATATTAACTTAGTTTATTTGATCTAACATAAATCATAGTTTGAAATATCTAAGGTTTACGTCATTGGGGTGCAAAAAAGAAAGATTAGAAAATCAGAGTTTGTGTCAACGACTCAATTCCCTATTGTATTAAAACATTATTTGTTTAGAAGATAAGAACAAATTAGTGATAAACTTTGAGTGTAATGCCAGAAACGTGGCATTGGTATGTAGTTTCAATGAGAATAATTTGTGTCTTATCGGAAACTATCTTTCTAAAGGGAGAGTGAGTGTAGTTCTGAGTGACCCTCCATGTAAAGATGGTAATGCTCCTATTTACAGTGGTACCCAGCTTTCTTAGATCAAATATGAATTAATATAATTTTTTTTCTTATAAGAAGCAATGGACAACTTTTTAGAATTAAACACTTTTCGAGCTGATAAAACGACGGTATCTTCCACATTTTTGATCAGATTAAAGTTTCCAGGGTACCGTTGTGAATCGGACATTGTCATCTGTGCATGGAGGGTCACTTGAAATTACGCGTACAGTCCCTTAAATGGAAATTGATAATATCTTAAAGAGGTTAGTTTACCTGGGACTGATTTCTCCTGAGTTGCTAGGAACCCTAGTGCTCCTCTTCTACTCTCTACCTTGACAACCACGAGGTTACCCTCGGCGGATAACTCCTCTCCGCCCTTGTCCTCCTGCCCCCGACCCACGGTCAACCAGACCATTACGGATAATCTTGTTTCCTGTGTTTCCGGGACCCAGACACTCAGATACAAACAATCTTCACTCATCCCGGTTCCAGAAGACTAGTAAGGCATAAAAATAATCAACAAAAAAACGACGGAATCGGATATTTTCTAAGAAAGAAATTTAAAAAGTTAAACAATTTATCGTTTTTATTTTAACAAAGGCACTTTTTTTGGACTTTGGAAAAAACAAACTAATGCAATTTGTATAGGTGAATCTGTTTCAACCAGTCATGATGTATTTTTTACCCATCTGGAAGCAATCGAGAATTTGATAAAAATTGAGTTTCCAGGTGTTTCATGGCAAAGCACTGGCTCATTTATAACTTAATTTTTTACAAAATTGTTTGTTTATTATTGTTTTTTTTAGTTTTTTTTTATATTTGATATTTTGAATTTTGGTTTTTCTCAGATTATATATTCTATATAAAGTATGAGACACGTGAAACCTATTTTAGGAAAGTATTGAAAGTCTTCTGAGTGTTTCTTTGATTGAGCATAGTTGTTAGCCATGATCAGCCGGGAGGTGCCGACCATAGCACTAACGATCGGGATGTGCATTTTCGAGCAAACTCTGTCCTTTTTACGTTAAGTAAAAGGTTTTTTAAAATATTTAAACTAGGCAATTGCCGTGTCTCATGTTCAATTTATAAGAATTTTTCTAGGGTAAAATAATGTCACTTTAAATATGAAAATAAAACCTAAAACTGTAGAACAGGTGGAGGGGCCCTTAAACTGTAATATAATAGTTTTATCATTAGCTTCAAAGTTAATTGTCAAGTGTACACTGCACAAGCTGTGTGTTATCTTCATCAGATTATTTCAAAATTTCCCAATCCACAATTTTGTGGGTCTCACTGTAGCCTTGATAAATTTAGTTTTTGTTGAAATAACTTGTGTATCTTATTTCCTATCTGGTTCTGTACAATATCTCTATCCATGAGAGAACTCAGATCATTTTCAGTCAGTAAATACCTGGTTGGGGGGGCAAAAAGAACTACAAGAGAGCGGGACTAATAAATATTGCTTATTTGATTCTATTGGAAGACGACATTTAAACGATGATAACTTTTTAAGAGTTTTTCCTTTGTAATAATACTTATACATCTCAACAATGAATACATATTTTCTCATTTAATTTAATCCTTTTTTATGCTTTGCTTTCGTAAACTAACATATGTTGCGAAATTGTTAAAACTTGAGGAGAAAGAACGAATATCACAGGGGGAAGATTGGAATCACTTCATTGTACCTCCCAGGAATTTGGAGCATGAACGGTCCAGCAGGACGGAGCAGAGCTTGTAGCATTCCTGATTCCCTCCCATTCTACAGGAGGACGCGGAGCTTCGAACCTTAGTTCTCCAAGAGGAGCCTGAGCATAGGGGATACCCAGATATCCCTGTATCTAAACCATACAGAATATGTGAGATTACAAACCTACATATTTTTTTAATTATTTATTCCTAGCTTACCTGGGTACCCTGAGAAGTCGTTATCCATTTTCCTAGAATCCGCCCGGACGATGTTTTAATTTCAAGCCTAAATTGCGTTAAATCAGAAAAGAATATATCAAGATCAATGCTTGATATCATCTGTAAGTCTGCAGATTAATTTAAATTTTATTTGATGTTAAGGAAAGTGTCTAAATTTCAACCAATCAGAGTTTCGGTTGAAGAAATCGAACAACCAAACCGAAGCCGGGAAAGTTGTTCGCAACTAATGAAAATCAAAAATGTCCAAATTGGATTTCGACATTAAGATATTGAGATTAAGGGTAGCAAAGGTTTCCAACTCTGATGGAATAAAATATGTTTAACGTCAGAAGAAGGAATTGTACTTTAGTTATCATTTAAACTTATACTTAGGTTCTCTTCTATGATATTAATTTTTTATTCAACTCGGTGATTTATGATTGGAAGAGTAAGTTGTAAACAAGTTTTGCAAAAAAAAATTTTGAACGCATAAAGTACTGGTAGGGTGGAGAATGGTCAAACGGCGGGTTGGTGTTTAAAAAAATAAGAAATGGTTAATAACTCCTCTTTTATTTATTAAACTACAGGGCTAAGACTTATATATTTGAAAACAATATTTGTTAAAAGTAAAAATAAATATTTTTGAAATTTTTTTACACCCCAACCATTAAAGTTAGAGATCTAATTTTTTTTAATGAGCCGGCCTTGAAAAGGGACATTATTTGTCACACTCCCCTATCTCTTCTCTAAGGGAAAAATCATAAGGGGGGGGGTGGAAAACATCCCCACCCCCCATCTATATTAGACAAAAATAGCCCAATCGGGATTAAACAGCATTTCTGTTCCGACTTTTATAATTTTTCTTATTTACTTTTGGTCGTAGTTCGCTTGATTAGATACGAGATGCAGATCTTTTTTCTCATCAGGAACTCCGTTATCTTCCTGAAGGAAAATATAAAATATAAAAAACGTCCTGGGGTTCTGAATAAAAAATAATATTTTCCTGGTTCGGGTTTATGTCTTGTATCTTGACTCCGGTCTCTCTGTTATCCCTGGTCTGCGGAGGACCTGGATATTTATTAAATCCATCCAGAGGACTGTCATCTTTATCAACACAAGTTAATGTCAGCAAAAAAGGAGGTTTTGATAACTAGGAGACGTATTATAATATTCAGTAAAAAATACCATTTCAAAATTGAAGAGAAAAATAAAATCAACATATGACGCAAAAAAAGTATGAGTTTTGCCGAAATAAAAAAAATATAGAAAGCAATGAAAAAATTTTAATTTTGATTTTTCTTCATTTAACTATAAATTCATTCTTTTATAAACCCCAAGTTAAAAGTCTGTTAAAAGTATTAGAGGTATCGTCAGTGGTAAACGACATTGAATATACGATATGAGATTATTATTTTGGAAAAGAATATCAAAATCTTGTTACTTTGTTGACTTTGTGTTGTTTAAACATACCCCCCAAGCGAAATTGATTTTGAATGTTCCTTAGTAGTTCCGGAAATGCAGGTTTTAGCGGAGAATATTGTGGGTTGAAAGAAAGACCATCAGTAAAAGTAATATCCGAAGAGGGTTGAGTAGTCAGTGTAGAACCTGGAGACGCAAGAGTTGAACCATGTTCTCCGGTAGGACTAGGAGTAGAATCGAACCTGAGGCTACCTCCAGGTCTATATGGAGTTCGTGTAGTGTAAGGTTTAGTCAATCTTGTGAGGCTTGCTTCAGTCAGCTGACTTGGGCCAGGACGGGTTCGGAGATTTTTGAATAATTCTAAAATTGATAATAAGTTTTGGAGAATCTTTAAAAAAAACGAGAGCTTTTTTTCAAGTTTTAAAAGAGCCAATTACGATATTATTTTGTGTTTCAGATTAATAAAACAACTACAGACATATATTATATACATTTATAGATTTATTTCTCATATTATCATGTTTATTTGAACTTCCATTACATATAAAAGTACGATATCTTATCTCCCCCTTGCAAATCAAATTTAGCATTTTATGTTTGTTTTTGACAATTTAAGAAATAAAATTTAGAACATCTTAAAAATTGTTTAATTTAACCTTTTAATTCGTCAGTTGTATCGGTATAGTCCAGGTTTCCAATGAGCTCCTCAGAGTCTCCTTCGATCAAGTTAGGAAGATCTTCATCCTGAATTATGGGTTCAGTCTCCAGGTAGGGTTCAAGGTTCTCCAGGTTGGGTTCAGAGTTTTCCAGGTCCGGTGTACCAAGTACAAACTTTAAATTGATGAAGCTTGAATTCTGCTCCTAAAAGTAATCTTGTTTAAATTCGAAAGTATTCGCTCTCCTCATCCGACCTAAAGTAATCTGACCTAATGATTTTCTGATTTGTATTAGATCTTAAAATATGTTAGTGACGGTTAGGTTAGGCCGGTTAGTTGGAGTTGGATGGGGGTTTAACGTAGTCATGATGGGAAGTAGATTTAAATCCATAATACACGCCGTGAGGTAAAACTTCTATATTTGCATTAACACTACTCGATAATTACCTTGGATACTTTTCAATTCGAATTTTTTAAACTACGAATTTGGCTTTTTATTGAGAATCGTTCATGGCATGGCAAATACCCAATTTGACAGAATTTGCAAGTGTTATTTTTCTTCAGTAAATTTATACATTTCAAACCTATTTTCTTTTATCTTATATATTTATCAAACCTAGAAATTTACTTTTGTTTATTTACCTCTGGATATTGAACTGATAGATTTGACGAGTTCTCTGAACCTTGATATTTCTCCATACTAGCGATTAGTTCCCTAAATATATGCATATAAATATATATTTATATATATACATATATATATATATATATATATATATATAAAGTAGTTAATCTCTGTCTGTTTGTATTTCTGATCATAGCTCATGAAACCCTGGACAAATGGTCTAAACTTTTGATTGGGGAACCCGGTTGAACCACGCTTGGAAAATGTCTGAGTCTGGTTTAAAATTTAAGTGGAGTGGGTTGACATTGATTAATGAAACTGATAACTCTTCTCAAGCTCTAAGTTTATAAACCTTCACGTCACGTCAAATCAAAGTAAATTTCGCGTCACGTTTAAATCTGATATATTTGAACTCAACTTTAATTGAAAATATATTTAGAAGATTAAAAATGTTCAGACCTTTAGAGATAGACTTACTTAATCCGCTGGACTATAAAAGATGCGGATTAGTGCTTTCTGACAGGATAAACAATATAAAAGTTTTTATCTCTGGAAACTATAAAAAGCATCAAAGCTTGAAAAATCAATTTAAGTATAAATCAAACAATGTATTGTCAAAATAAAAAATTAACTGAGTTAGATTTTTAACTAAGTATTGGTAGCAATTTCTAAATGATCATCCTAATTTCGAATTAGTTTAATAATGATAAAAAATATAAATTAAATATTTGATTATATAAATTTACCCAAATATATCTTGTGGATGTTTAACATGGTTCTGTGGCTGCCTGTGTACTGGAATATCTAGGACTTGTTTGGGGAGAATATCGAGAATATCTTCTAAAGTTTGGTTTCTACCCGCAGCGTCGAGAAGAGCCTGAATCTACAAAAAATATTGGATTTAAATTGTTGAAAATCTTGGATTTCACTCTTGATTTATTTCCATTAAACATCAATTTTTTTTGTAAAATAGATTTTTTTCTCTTTGATATTTGAGATATTTTAAAAAATCAGTTTTTATAGTAATTTCTAAAAGTTGACCAAATTACATCAAACCGTTATGAGATTATTTACGAATAGAAACCAAGCTGCAGTGATAACCAGAAAACTGTAGAATAGGAAGACGACATAGAAGCAATTATGAAGTGATGTTACGAAGCAAATAGCTTTACTAGCAAGTTGTTAAATCACTTATTAAGTGAAATGGGTCTATTTAAACTAGGCAATTGCCGTGTCTCATGTTCAATTTCATATCTAAAGTTCTAACTTGAGTCTAAAGGTCGACGTCCTATTCTAGATTTTTTTGAACTTTTTAACTATCAAAGGCTGCGATAAGTTGAACAGAAACTTTACCTTCTCTAGAACTGAATTGGTGATCTGCTCTTGGGTCATAGATATAGTTTTATTATTTTCCTTCTCTCTGATTTCACCTGAAATTCAGAATATTACACTCCTAGAGAAATTGAAAGTGTATTACCGGAAGTCGGAAATAAGAAAGAACAAAAATATTGAAACTGAACTGAGGCCGAATTTAAAGAATTTGAGCCGCGGCTTAAATTTAAGGCGCAGCTCAAATATGGTTGGTTCCACTTAAACCGGTCTTCGGGGGATTTGAGACGCGGCTTAATTCATTAAATTTGGACACTGAGAAGTTTGTTATAGTTAGATATTGACAAAACAAGATAAATCTATTCTCTTCAATCAAACTTTGTCATACAAGGATACCCATCAAACTTTGGATATGGAAGACGAGTTAAAACTGAATTCGTGATTTTTAATAATGTAAAACATAATTGTGCAGTATACACACAAGACCCAGCTCCATCTCAGTTAACTTTCAACCTACTGGTAAATAACAAATACACGTAGGATTGTTTTAACAATTTTTCCAATGGCAGGGTTTCCATTAAATATTACAATTTCTCCAATATCATCCAGATTTAGGAACAAAATTATTTTAAGATAGATATTTTTCCTGTTTTGCACTAGGTTTTCTTTCCCTTAAGTGCTATTGAGGAACTATTCTGAAATCTCAGGGGCTACGCCCCCCCCCCTTACTGAATCCGTCAGGGGGGTGCGAAGGTCCTGCCGTCCCACTTTTCCGCCCCTGACTTTAATATCGTCTTCCTATTCCAGAGTTTAATGGGTCCCATGTTTTTCATGTTGTCCAATAAAAAATGTTGTTCAATCTCATTTAAATCTCAAAACCAGCTAAGATTACCCGATCTCTTATTGGTCAGAAGTTTAGATGTTGGACCAATGAGAATCGGCTAACCAGGCGTCAGCTGACACATATTTAGATGAATAATTAAACTAAATTTAAAAGTTTTCATCTCTTTTAAAAATCCCAAAGCTGAAACTAAACCAAGAGTATTGTTTTGTCCAAACTGTACCGACTGTACCTGGAAGAGGGAGAAAAGTCAGGTTGGTTAAGTCTCCGAGACTAGTTTGAATCTGAGAAGGTTCTCCGAATTCCACAATTTCATCCAGAGATATCTGAACCATCTCCTCTGTATCCGGGTCTTGGTAGATATAATCCAACTGGTCTCCAGTCCTACCTCGATCCTCTCTCTGATCTATCTCAGGGTACTAGAATTAGAACAAATCTGATCATTGATCTTTAAACACGATGTTTTTATTCTGCTGTAAGAAATGTAAAATATTCTAATTGATTATAAGAAAATATTTGCATGTATCAGCAGCGAGGTGTATCTTATCTCAACCTGGTAAATATCCTGCGCAATATCTTTAAAACATAAGTGATGTCGACATAAGTCTTCTTTACTGCACAAAGGAATTGAGTCTTTGCCACATACTCTGATTTTCTAATCACTATATCTTTGGAACCAAATGTTGCAGACCTTAGATATTTCAAACTATGAATTCTGTTAGATCAAATAATCTGAGTTTGAAATATCAAAGACTTGCAACATCAAGTTCTAAAGATATTGAGGTTTAAATATTTGATTTTGTTCCAAAGACTCAATTCCTTTGTTAGTTTGACGACTTTTGATCTTTCTGTTTTTTATCTTTCCTTTTTTTTTGCAATCACATCTTTCTTTTCCCCTCGTTAGGTATTCACGTATTTAACATTTTTTTCCACTCACATATATTCTTTCATATTTTGTTAACATTCTTTTATAACTGTATCTGTACTTTTTCTTTTCCCTACTCTATTGCCCCCGTCGTTACTTCTTTTATATTCATATTATCCTTTCTAATAAGTGTCGTTTCATTATTTGATGAATAAATTTCAAACTGTGTATAGATTACTGCGAGTAAAACATATGTAGCGCATTCTGAAAATAATATTCTAAGAAATTAATAATTTACAAACTCTACTTTTCTAACTTATAAGTCTTTTCAATCTGGTGGTGATATTTCGAGTAGCTAATCTAGAAAAATTTTATTTAAGGTTTGTGGTTAGTACTCAGTTTCTTTTTAATACGCCCAAACCAAGCTGCAGTGATAACCAGAAAACTGTAGAATAGGAAGACGACATTAAAGCAAAATTTGGACACTGAGAAGTTTGTTATAGATAGATATTGACAAAACAAGATAAATCTATTCTCTTCAATCAAACTTTGTACGCACCTGACCTGACCTCTACCTGATCTGCAGAAACCAATGTGAACGAGATGAATCCAGAGAGGAGAAGAGAAAGAAATAGATAATCCTCCATATTTAATCTAAATCTAGATCTGCATTTCTTAAGTCTGGAATTTTTAAAATTCTTTATTGACAAAATTCGTGAACTTTACATTATAATCTAAATATATGAGGGATCAGATTTAATAAAACACGAGAAGTAGCTGAACTGCGCAGATAAACTTCAATCAATTCTCTAGTGCGCAAGTACACACGTCTACGCGGTTCAACTATGTCTTGTTCATCTGAACTGGTCCCAGAAAAAATTTCTATTCTAAACAATCTAACATCTATTTACAGGGTTACCCAGAAAAATAAAACACGGTTGTACAATATACTTATTTCTACATTCTAGGTCTTTGTAACTGTGAACTTGTTTTTCCCCAACAGAAGGACAATTAAGTAAAATAACCACCCGCTCTGCGAAATTTTCACGAAAAAAATTCCCGCATTTTCATCTCAAATGACGATAAAATTGTGCACAACTACTTTTTCGGGAAATTAAGAATTTTACTTAACTTGGTAAAGTAAAATTCCCTTAACTTCCCTGTAAAGTAGTTGGAAATAACTATAAACTATTTTTAATGCAGCAAACTAAACATAGAGGTCGGTAAATTTTAAGAGTTTGAAGTCGTCATTAAGTCTCATCAATACTGGGTAAATCTGTAGTTGAATCAAGAACCCTAGACTCATCAACTTTAATCTGATTTATATCCTTTTTCAAAAATATTTGCTACAAAACAAAAGTAATGAAATTATTCCAGCAGGATAAGAAAAAACATGATATAGATTCTTTTAAACTGTTCAATTTAACTAAATAATTATTATCATTGTAAAAAAAATTGTATTTAACAATGACTTCGATTGAAATCGTTCCTTATGGTAAACATATTTGAAATAAATGTTTTTAATATTTTTATTTTTATTTAATGTTTCAGCAATTAAGCATTATTAAACAATATTAAACAAACACGGTTATACGTAATAGTTCAATGCATTTGTGAGATAGATGGATGGATAGATAGATAGATAGATAGATAGATAGATAGATAGATAGATAGATAGATAGATCGATCTATCGATAGATAGATAGATAGATAGATAGATAGATAGATAGATAGATAGATAGATAGAGATAGCTTGATTGACAGATAGATAAATTACAGATTACAATTGTGACGCATGCCAAAATGTTTGTAAGTAAAAATACGTTATAAACGCAAATAATTATTTAACAATTATTCTTCCGGATATTATTATTTAGATTCAAATAAATATAATTTTAATCTTATTATTTTTACTAAAGTGATAACCAGAAAACTGTAGAATAGGAAGACGACATTAAAGCAATACTGAAGTGCATTTGACGTTGTTATAAAGCAAATAACTTACTAATAAGTTATTAAGTCACCTATTAAGTAAAATTGGCCTATTTACTCTGCACAATTGCTGTGTCCCATTTTCATTGGCTATTTAAAGTCCTAACTTGAGTTTAAAAGTCGACTTAAAGTTCCAGAGTTTTCTGGTTATCACTGTAGTATTTATACAGAGATTCAGACATGTAAACAGTGTAATTTATATAATCTATGCTCATGAATTTAACTTATTGTCAAACAGATCTGTTATTGGTTAAAATGCTGAGGAGTAGACCAATGACAGATCAGTAAATATGACATTAGCTGACAAATATATTAATTTAAAATGCGGTGATGGTGACGAACCAAACCTCTGTAGAGTAAAAAAGTAGATGTTATTAACAAATTAGATGTGTTTAGATTTTTTTTTCTAAAGTTTCAGTTAAATTTTTAAAAGAAAGAAAAAGGCCAAAAACATTTTACTAATTTCTGGTTATCTCTGGAGCTAAACTTAATATCATTCAAAAGTTCTCAACTAAGATTGTAATACCATAACTGAATTATATCAGTCACTAAACCTAGAATTATCTCTGTATAGAACTATACACCCTGATACAACTATGATACTGGACTAATCATGTATCTCTGTATAGAACTATACACCCAGATACAACTATGATACTGGACTAATCATATATCTCTGTATAGAACTATAGATACACCCTGATACAACTATGATACTGGACTAATCATGTATCTCTGTATAGAACTATAGATACACCTTGATACAACTATGATACTGGACTAATCATGTATCTCATAGAACTATAGATACACCCTGATACAACTATGATACTGGACTAATCATGTACAGCTTGTCTCCGGGTTTGAAAGATGAACGGATCCCGGTTTAGAGTTTACTCAACCAGGGTCTGGAAGCATCCCTCTGCAGTCTACAGGCGTGCACTAGATTATAAAATTAATGTTATAAATTAGGCTTCAGCGCTTCCGTATTATTTTCAAGCTTCATTAGACAAAAAGAATCTCGACTTCAAATTTTATAAGAAATTAAGTTTTTTATCGGGAAAAGTCATTCAGTCGCGTAAAATACTTATTTCTGATATAGCCGTAAAATATCTACTTTTATCAATGTGATATCTACACTAAACATAGATACGTAGATCAGATTTTAGGATACAATGGAAACCACGTGGATTTAACGGTTCTGTCAATATTCCAGAACGCTGTGACTTTCGATCACAATTTAAACACATTTTTTAGTCTTTTTTCTGAAATACTTTTTTGTCGGCATATGCATTTTGAAGGAAAAAGTATAAAATAAACAAATCTGTAAGGTAAAAGATTGTTGAATTAAAGACGTTTGATTTCAAATAGAAGAAACCGAATGCTGCTCACTCTGGTTAATCCGGGGTGAAACCGACCTTAGAATATCCTAACTAGTTATTGAGTAGCTTTCATAAAAAACTACTAGTTTTTACTTGCCGCGGAATCTATAGCGTTTAATTGCTGTTAGGTCCGTTTTCTCTAGGTCGGATCGGAGTTTCTCGATTTAATCTTGATTACTTAATGTCAAGTTATGACGGTATCTGGTCAATATGTGAGAGATATGTTTTCATGTTCAGTCTTGATAACTTTGATCTCATCCTGCAGGCTTCACTGGGTTTGATCAGCTCAGATGCAACGAACATCTAAATTCTTAATTTTCAAATCATAAAAATAAGAATTTAAGCTGTGGATCGGAGTTGGGGGGTGGGGGGTGTAGNGTTTGGGGAATATAATTCTATAATCATCCGAATAGATCTGCGCATTGCGTATCTGTGCTGAGTTTGCAGATCTAGGATGGATCCTGGGGGAAATCTATCCTGGAACATTACTCCAGTAGCTGCCGATCAGAGCAGTCAGGTTTCACCAGCTGCCGATCAGTCTAGAGCTCAAACATGACGTTCTGGCAGGAGAACTACTCCTTTATCAAGGAGGTGTATGATACAAGGTACCAGGAGTAGGGTTCACTCGTATATATTTAAAAACCTTTATTTAACCACAAAAACTCAAAAATATTTGATTATGATTCCTTTTAAATTCTTCTAAGGTCGGAATTAATTAATAACGAGAAGTAGTAAAACTAGTCAGGGATAGTTGAACCATTGATATAGTGTAGCCAAGAATGCACCAGAAAATTAGTCCAGCTAGCTCTATCTGGTTCAACAAACTACATTTTTACAGGGGTTCATATAATTCCTTTTTCAATCCCATTTGGGATTGACAAATTTCAAAGAATTGGGGGCAAATTTTTTAAAAGGGGGCAAATTTTTTTTAAATGATAATTTAAAAAAAATTGGGGGCATTTTTATTTAATTGGGGACATTTTTTTTAAATTGGGGGCAAATGTGTTAGTGGAATTTGAAATTTTTTTTTTAATTGGGGGCATTAGGGGGTCGGTTAGTCATTGCCCCCTGCATTACATCCTTTTGGACCAATTAGGCTACTTGTTACGCTTCATTTGTAATAAACGGTTCAAGAAACTAAAAATTGTAATAAATGAAAATTAGCGGAACACTAAATAATAAATAATAAAGAAATAAAATAAATAAAAACTTAAAAGCAAGGTTTTATTTTAAATTAATGAAGCGGGTGGATTCATGAAATAGATTCCTTCTTTTTTAAAGCTTAAAGGGACAGTAAAGGAAAAATGAAAGGGGGTATAGGCTGAAAGCTAATCACTTTAGCTCTTGATCGCGACCCATGAAAGTCATATCTGATGTTCCTGTCTCGAGAAATTGATATAAAATTGTATCAAATATATACGAAAATTAATATATATACAATTTTGTATAAAAGTAGTAGGTTTAAACAGATCATATTCAGCAAATAAGCAACCAATCTGAAAACGATGATATCCCAGAGAAAGCTAATTGCAAACTAGGTTTACTTTTATATTTGTTATTTCTATTTTCAATTGATTTCATTCATAATATTATTTTTACGTCCGTATTACTTGACCAGAAATTCCACCAATGGCAGTGCAGTAAAGTGGTCAAATGATACAGGCGGAGACACGTGACCAGTATACTGCTCTGCCATTGGTGATAGTTCTGGTCACGTGATTTAAGTTTCAGATTTTCAAAATTTTACATATATGAATTTTCGTATAATTTTAACACAGTTTTATATCAGTTTCTCGAGACAGGAACATCAGATTTAACTTTCATGGGTCTCGATCAAGAGCTAAAGTGATTAGCTTTCAGCCTATACCCCCTTTCATTTTTCCTTTACTGTCCCTTTAAAATGTAAATTATGATGATGATGATTATGACTATGATTATGATGGTGATGATGATGATGATGATGATGGTGATTATGATAATCATGAATATGAGATGATCATGAATATGATGATGATCATTAATATGATAATGATCATGAATATGATGATTATCACGAAGACATAACGATAATAAAGATGAAGATGAAGATAATGACAATGTTGTAAAAGCCATTTCAGAATTATCTTGATTCAGAATTCAGAATTATATTGATTCAGAATTCAGAATTAAAGTTTAATATTTTAAAAAGTCCTACTTTTTAATTGTCTTTCGGTTTCGTTTTAAACATGTAATATTACGTATCATATGTTAATCAAAACATTAAAAACAAATATGACCAATAAGATTATAATAATGATAATAATAAGATGTTTATTTTTTGCGCTTGGTTTTATCATATTATTATTTGGCTATTTCATATATGTCATAAAAAGTTCATAAAAAGCTTAATTTGATGGCAAAATAATAAACGATGTGTTTATACCTCACAGGCTTTATTTCGACAAGTTTATCCTAGAAAATGTTCACTTTTCAAAACAGAAATACGGAGGCTACTGTTAATAATAAAAATTATGAGTCTGATAATGTCCAGGTACACGAAGATGGTTGAATGGATGGATAACGTGGAGATGGCGATCCAGAAGGTTTGCGCCAGCAAGGTCTACACCTCTGCAGAGTTTAAGCGGGAGAAGGATAATTTCCAATCTCTTTGCAAGAACCTAGAGAGAGCAGAAACTAAAAGGTAATTAAAAAAAAACACTTTATAATCTTTAAACTTGAAGATCAATTGTATCTTGTAGATATCGGTCACACTTCAATGATTGATTTTCAGCTTGAAAGCATTAATTTCTTCAAATCTTCAAAATTAATCAAAAAAAATAAATTGATAAAATGTCAGATGTTTTCAAGGGTTCGCTGGATAAGAAAATTATTTAATCTGCGTCATTTCCCGTTTAAAACTAGATTTTATCATGTTCATAAAGGGACTGATTAATTAACTAAAAAATCCAAAATTTTTGCATTAAGAAATGAATTTAAGTCTGTCACGAAGTATAAACAAAGAAAATATTTTATGTCTGTGACGCATTCATATAACTCCAGAAAACTTGCGTTTCTTAATTTTTCATCAGATAAATGTGCATTTTCAAATAAGTGAATAATTTCTTCCCAAAACTAATGATAATATTTAGATGGTTGACGGAGACACTTGAAACCTTGATGAAGGAGAGAGCTGCTGACGAGCAGAAAGCTGAATCCACGAAGCTTAAATCTGTGATGGAGAGACACAAGGCCCTGATCCCTAAGATCCAGGAGACCCTGGTCAAGACTGAATGCTACTGGAAGTGCTACAGCTACGGAGATGATCTTATTCCCATCTTTGAGTTCATCGATGACCTGAGGAACAGATCGGTGAAGGAGGTGTTCAGTGCTAACAACGAACATACCGAGGAGCACATTGAAAAGCAGGACAAGGTACTCAACCAGCTGGAGAACAAAAGGAAGATGGTCATGGACTTCATCTCCAAGGGAGAGAAGTTAATGGAGGATCCCAACTGCCCGAAGTTCCTGGAGGGGCACGTCAAGAAGCTGAAGGAAGCCTGGGAGGATACTAATGAGAAAGCTCAGTCTCGAAAGAAAGCTCTGGTTGATAATCTTAACTCCTGGGAGACCTTTGAGGAGAAGAAGATCGAATGCCACAAACAGCTGGACGCAGCTGATGCTGAATTTGAAGCCATCAAGAAGATCTTTGATCTTAGAGCAGGACCCCAGGATTATAACATGAGAATGAAAACAGCTTCTATGTTCAGAACTAACATTGAGGATATTTTCAACACTTGCTCCGGTGCGAATGATATTCTCCAGGTTATGCTACCGGATGAGAAGAAACCGGAAATGAACGATCAAACCTCAGAACTCAAGACTCGAATGGACATCCTTGCAAAGATTGACGAACGACTTGCCTTCATTGATGACTTCAACAAAAGGCTGAATATCTTCGATGTTGGAGTTAAGGAGATGGAGAACTGGTTGGGAGAAGGACGTAAAAGGTTGGATTTGATCAAGACTCCACCAGAGGAAATGTCTCCAGAAGATAGAGTTACAAAGTCCATGGAGCTCCAGGAGGATCTTAATAAAAAATCTGAGTTCACTAAAAAGCTTGAGGTTGAGAAAGACGACATTTTCCCTAAATCTGGAGAAAAGGTTTCCTCCGATGCTAAGAAGTTTATTGAGCGTCTGAAGAAGGTCCGAACCACCCTGAATGCTCTTGATGATGAAGTGAGTGCTGAGTGCGCCAAGTTCTCTGAAGATGTCAAGTTCTGGGCTGAGTTCCAAACCGGACTCAAGGTATTCGAACCTTGGATGAAGAATGCTGAGCTCAGGAAGATCAGTGGACTCAAGAAACCTAGCAGCCTTGTTGAAGCTTGTGAAATCCTCGGAGACAGTAAGAACCTCCAGGACGAGGCCGAGGCTAAGCTCCGTGTGCTGGAAGAGGCTGCTTCTGCAGCCCAGAAGATGACCTCACATCATGAGGCCGATATTAAGGTTGAAGGGTTTAAAAAGAGGTGGACGGTTGTGCATGAATGTTTCCAGGAGTGGGTTGCAAGAATGACAACTCTGGTTGAGTGCTGGAACAAGCTGGATGGAAATGTTGGAGAACTAAGCTCCTGGGTCGCTACAAAGGATTCCTCTGCTCCCGAAGGTTCCTCCGAGATATCAATTGAACAACTTGAAACCCAACTCAACACACTTAAAACCATGTTTGCTGAGAAGCAAAAACTGGTATCCGACCTGGATGCTTATGGACCTGCCGGAGCAGTCGTCCCAGCTCCGGTAGCAGTTGCTCCAGTAGAGGCTCCAGCTGCTGAGTTAGCAGCTGAAGTCCCCGCAGCTTCAGAAGAAGCTGCCCCTGCAGAAGCAGTTCCGGTTGAATCAGCGGCCTAAACTTTATCTTACCAATTGTATTCGTAAACAGCTCATTCTGTGCATAATTTTGTCATACTTTTCTTATTATCCATACAACAATATATTATAATAAATATCTCTATATATAGATTTATAAATACTCATAATAAACGTACTGATTACTTTCTCTTCATGGCAACCTGATGTTGTAAACCTTTAAATATTTCAAACTTGATTTATTTGAATTCATAGTTTGAAATATCTAAGGTCTACGACATCAAGTTGCAAAGATATAGGAATAAAAAATCGGAGTTTGTTGCAATTACTTAATTCCTCTCTAATCCTTATATATTTCCTATCATGATATTGTAACCCTCTGATATTTCAAACTATGAACTCTGCTCAAATAGTCAAAGTTTGAAATATCAAAGGTTTACACTGTTAGGGTTGCAAAAATACAAAGATTTGAAAATCAGCTTTACAATCATAACATTGAAGGATACAGTTTTGAAAACTCATGTTTAGAAAGGAATTAAGTTTTTGTCACAATTTTTTAAGCCCTATTTCTTTGCAACCTGATAGTGTAAAACTTTGATATTTTAAACTTAGATTAATTGATATAACACAATTCATGGCTTGAAATATCTAAGGTCTACGACATTGGATTTCAAAGCTAAGGAATAAGAAAATCAGAGTTTGTGACAAAAACTCAGTTCCTTTGAGGGAAAATCAGCTAAAAACCCTAGAAAACCATTCTAAAGTCTTAACTTTACTTTTCTACAGGATAAAGTAAAATTTGTAAAAAGTCTTTAGATAATTTCAGGGGAAATTAGTTTCAAATCTAACTGAGTGTTAGAAATGGACCAAATCTGCAAAGTTATCTTTTTCAAGCGTATATATCTTAAAATTCAAGCCGAGTTGAACAAAACTATACCATACATTTATTGAAAATGAGTAAAACTGTATATCGATAAAAGTAACGTCAACTTTACACCAATAATAAAGGGTGAGAATTAGTTTTTGGTGATACTTGATTTCATTTTCGAACATATCCCTATTTTGAAACAATTACTGGATTTCAGCTAATGTCGCGTTTTGGAACATATCCTGGTTTTGAGACAATTACTCGAATTCATATCAATGTCACTTTAAAAGCATTTACGCACTTACGTAACAAAACAAGATTTTTTGATAAGGTAAAATCTGAACAAAATAGAAAGTAAAAACAAACAATTTTTTTCTATTTATAAAATCATTGCGGCATTGAGAAATTAATATAATAAGATTCTTTTGTTCTTACAATATAGATTTAACTAGAAATGCGGGAAACTATTTGTTAAAATAAATCATCTGTTTTCTCTTATTTAACAAATAAAATAAGGACATTTAGATTCTAGATATAATTCAGGAGTTTATTAAGTCTAAATAAGATAATTTTTGTTTTTAGGGATTTATAGTTTAGGATATGTTCAAAAATGGAAAAGATTTTAAAGCTGTGTGACTTTAAAGTATCGCTAGGGTTTTTAATCGCAATAGCATTGCGCGCAATGATGCGCAACGATGTGTAGTGGTTGTTTCCTTTTATGCATTAGGGTTGAGCGCAATATTGACATTTTTGCGCATTGATGCGCAATATCTATTGCACGAAAAGTTACCATTGCAAATATGAATATGAATATGAATATCCTTGTGAAGAACCTGGCCCCAACCCAATAAAAATATGTCTAAGAATCAGGTATCAGGGCTTATCTTCAGAGTTATAACAATAACAAAATCATCGATGGTTTTCTAGTTTAAAGAGTAAGTTTACTAGCTGTAACTATTTGAAATATTAAACTTTTAGTTTGCAGTCAAATATTGTTTGTTCCGCTTAAAATTGTATTTAATATTTTCAAGATTTAAGCCGGCGCTCAATTGATTACGGTTTTTGCGGATTTGAGATGCGGCTCAAATTCATTCAATTCGGACTCTGGTTGAAAAGTAAAAAATTCTTTTCTTTCAAGCCCATTTTGCCAAAAAACTAGAACCGTCTTTGTATTTTCTAGTGACTTTATGGTTCCCATTAAACCTTGATCTTTCAGGCGCGTGCACAGGATTTGAGTGAAGGGGGGGGGGAAAAATTTTGCGCATAGCGCGAAAAATTCCCCCCCCCCTGGCTGTTTTTTGCCCCCCCCCCCTGGAATTGTTTTGTTCAAAAAGTCAATTAACACCATAAAAATACATCAAAAAGACTACATTTTTTGGTGTTACTAACCTTATAGACTCTAAAAATTATTCCTTTGCTCGAAACACTAACTTTAACTTTTTAACTTTATAAATTTATAAATTTATCACTGAACTCCATCACAGCTAACTAAATCAATAATCACAGCATCATTAAAACATCATACAAACAAACAGACACCCAGACAGACAAGCCAAATTTATATATAGATTTGAAATATCAAAGGTTTACAACATCAGGTTCCAAAGGTTTGAATATTTGAGTTTGTGCCAAAGACTCAATTCTTTTATTAATTGACTGTAAGAAAAAATAGAAAAATAGAAAAAAAATACCTTTATTACATCTTCCATCATGTTAAAAGCATCTAATATGTCGAGGTCTCGTTTTTGCAAAAGTTTTAGTTTAAAGTATCTTAAAATTTTGTGTTAACAGTGAATTTAGACAAATCCTTAGTTTTTGTCATTGTAAGGTGTTACTTTTTAAATTTGTTTCCTTTTAATTTTGTATTTTCCAGGGCAGGGCCCCCCTCCCCTGGAACTCCCAGGGGGGGAGGCAAGAGGACTACTGCCCCCCCTATGTACGCCACTGAGTGATAAGTAATGATGAAGATAAAATGTCTTTTTTTTTCTAGCTTGACAAATTCCTTCGCTGTTCTTGCAGCAAACTCAGCAAGTCACTTTTGAAAAGTAACCACAAGTAGAAATAATCAATTCTCAAAGAGAAAAACATGGATTTCTCCTTCACTCTCAATCAGACTATGCTTTAAGGGTACAGTTGTAAATCGGACATACTAAAGTGATAACCAATAAACTCTGGAATAGGAAGACGATTTTTCGACTAAAGTTATCATTGTAAATAAACATGAGACACTGGAATTGTGCAGTTTAAACAGAGCCGTTCAACTTAATAAGTAATTCAATAAGTTACAAATAAATCTTTTTTCTTTTAAAACCTTCAAGTGCTTCGATTATAGTCAAGTATTTCTATTATGTCGTCTTAATTATGTCCTATTTACAACTGCACCTTAAAAGCATTGTCTGCATAAATAGAGATTAATTTGAAATTACTTATTCAGCCCCTGTACGTGTGTATTTTTGTTAGTTATACTCTCTTTGTTGGCCTTTCCATTTCAAATTTGTCAAATTGAAGAAAAAGATACATGATCGAGTTTACAGCTGAGACCTATTTAGCTCTAGTAAATTTCGCCAAAGGAGTTGAGTTTTTGCCACAAACTCTGATTTTCTAATCTCTATATCTTTGTAACCCAATGTCGTAGACCTTAGATATTTCAAACTATTAATACGTATAGATAAAATAATCTAAGTTTGAAATATCAAAGGTCTGCATCATACGGTTACAAAGATATTGGGATCAGAAGATTTGAGTTTGTGGCAAAAACTCAATTCCTTTAGAGCAACAAAACACAAATTAAAGTGTCGTTGCCCGGAAACCGTAATTTTAACTTACTTACTTACTTATCATTTTTTGCAACCCTGGACATGTAGATTTTAGAATCGTAAAGCGCTTGTATTTTAGCTTCAGGTTTTATGAAGTGATTGGCAAAATTTTCACAGATTTTTGCTGGAGAGCAACCTTTAGATAACTGTAATCTCTGTATACATAATACTTTTATACATATTCAGCGAAATGTTTAAACAAGAAATAAGAATTATTTAGCAGTGTCAGCTTCATCAAATAGGCCGGTCAATTCAGCCTGGGATATCCCATATACGTCAGCATTAATTCGTCTTTTCATCTAATTTTACATCTATTCATTTATTTATTTATTCATTTTTTCATTTATTCATTTATTCATTTATTCATTTATTCATTTATTCATTTATTCATTTATTCATTTATTCAATTATTATATATTCCACACCTATTCATTCCCCTCCCCTCTAGAAAACAGGAAATGAAAAATAAGATATATTATTGTAGAAAATGATTGAAAAATATCGTTGTTTGTTTAAAGTTTATGTTTATCTGTAGAGTATACGTCTTTCTACTATCTTTTAAACAAACAGATGAAATTTATTCAGGGTGTATCGAAATAAATATTTTAATTTTGTGCAAAAAAATAATTTGAAATCATAGAAATTTTAAAAATATCTAAATTGAAAATTATTATTTTTGGAAATGATTTTTATTTTAACACCAGTCAAACATCGTTATCTATTATTTTAAAGTTGGAAGAATGATATTCAAAATCATTCCTTGAAGAACCTTCCTAGGATGAGGGTTTGGGTTGGTCTTCTCCTTTCTGCTCTTGCAGTTTCTGCGAACAAATCATATGATGGATATAAGGTTAATTACCTCCACGCCTTCTCTTTAGATCCCCAGCCATAATATCAATTTTCTAATCTCTACAGAGGTTTAAAATAAATCTCTGATTAGGTTTAAAACTCTTAGAACTAAATTCTATCAATGTTTAAGACTTGACTAATAATCTCTTTCAAGGTTTAAAGACTGATCTCTTTCAAGGTTTATAGACTAATCTCCATCAAGGTTTAAAGTCTGATCTCTATCAAGGTTTAAAGACTAATCTCTATCAAGGTTAAAAGACTAAGCTCTATAAAGGTTAAAAGACTAATCTCTATCAAGGTTTAAAGACTAATCTCCATCAAGGTTTTAAGGCTGATCTCTATCAAGGGTTAAAGACTAATCTCTATCAAGGTTTAAGAACTAATCTCTATCAATGCAAAAATACTAATTTACATCGAGGTTTAAGAACTAAACTCTATCAAGGTTTAAAGACTAATAAAAATCGAGGTTTGAGAACTAATCTTTATCAAGGTTTAAAGACTAATCTCTATCAAGATTAAAAGACTAATCTTTATCGAGGTTTAAGAACTAAACTCTATCAAGGTTTAAAGACTAATAAAAATCGATGTTTAAGAACTAATCTTTATCAAGGTTTAAAGACTAATCTCAATCAAGATTTAAAGACTAATCTCTATCAAGGTTTAAAGACTAATCTCTATCAAGGTTTAAGAACTAATCTTTATCAAGGTTTAAAGACTAATCTCAATCAAGATCAAAAGACTAATCTCTATCGAGGTTTAAGAACTAATCTCTATCGAGGTTTAAGAACTAATCTTTATCAAGGTTTAAAGACTAATCTCAATCAAGGCCAAAAGACTAATCTCTATCGAGGTTTAAGAACTAATCTCTATCCAGGTTTAAGAACTAAACTCTATCAAGGTTAAAAGACTAATAAAAATCGATGTTTAAGAACTAATCTTTATCAAGGTTTAAATACTAATCTCTATCAAGGTTCAAAGACTAATCTCTATCAAGGTTTAAATACTAATCTCTATCAAGGTTCAAAGACTAATCTCTATCAAGGTTCTCCGAACTGAAAAACTATCTGCTGATACCTCCGCTACCCTGAGAAAGGTTCAAACCTCCTCTAACACTGTGGACTTCTGGACCGAACCAGCTCCTGGCAGGTCAGTTGAACAATTTGAAAAATTTATAAATTTTTTTTATTCTTACCTCGATCTTGGATCCATACTGTGAAATAAGATTGATTGGACCCATCTGTATAATGAAAATTTCAAATATTTTAAATTCTAACTTTTGTTTGAAAATGCATTTAACCCAGATAAGATTCATAAGAATAAATATCTCATTTTAATTCAGTCAATAAAATCATTCTTTTTAATAAAGATTAAATAATATTTAAATTGTCAGGAGAGCAGACATGATGGTTAAAAGCGAGCTGGTCTCTGAGCTGGAAGAGTTCTTGACCCACCACAATATCAAGTTCCACACTATGGTTGAGGATGTTGAGAGGTATTCAAATCTCTATTGTTTGTGTTGGTGCCAGTTCTATACAAACAAACAAAATGTTTTAATATACAAACAAACAATAATATTAGCAGTGAAAAACTCAACCCTTTTATTAAAATATTTAAATTAGCATAAAAAGTAGTTGAATTAGGCTAAAATTAGCATTTTTTATGAAATAATTATTTTTCTCATAAAGCTTGGTTCAAGAGGTTGAGCTGTCCAGAAAAAAGATCAAGACCAGCAACAACAAGGCTTATGATCTTGACTGGACTGATTACTATGATCATGATACATTGAACCAGGTAGATATGATCTTGACTGAACTGATTACTATGATCATGATACACTGATTCAGGTAGATATGATCTTGACTGGACTGATTATTATGATCATGATACACTGAATCAGGTAGATATGATCTTGACTGAACTGATTACTATGATCATGATACACTGAACCAGGTAGATGTGATCTTGACTGAACTGATTACTATGATCATGATACACTGAATCAGGTAGATATGATCTTGACTGGACTGATTACTATGATCATGATACACTGAATCAGGTAGATGTGATCTTGACTGAACTGATTACTATGATCATGATACACTGAATCAGGTAGATATGATCTTGACTGGACTGATTACTATGATCATGATACACTGAATCAGGTAGATATGATCTTGACTAGACTGATTACTATAATCATGATACACTGAACAAAGTAGGTATGATACTGACTGAACTGATTACTATGATCATGATACATTTAACAAAGTAGATATGATCTTGACTGAACTGATAACTATGATCATGATACACTGAACCAAGTAGATATGATCTTGACTGGACTGATCACTATGATCAATGATCAGAAAGAAAAAAAATACTTTTTTATGTCTGAATTTTGGACTAATTGTTTAAATTTCAGTTCTTGGATGCTCTTGCTGAAGCAAATGACTTCGCTGAGGTGATCAATATTGGTAAAACCTATGAGGGACGTGACATGAATGTTCTGGCTATCACCAAAGCTGGACCTGGAGCTCCCAGTGTTTGGTTGGAAGCTGGAATTCATGCTAGAGAATGGATTGCACCCGCTGTTGCAACATTCATCGTTAGAGAACTGGTAAATTCTAATTGTAGATTGAATCTTGACAAATTAAAAGTGCAATTTTACAATATTTTACAATTTTATTTTATTTACAATTTTTTTTTATTTTATTTACAATTTTATTTTATTTACAATTTTTTGGAAGCATTATTTCTTATGTTTGACTAGGTTGAGGATTATGCTGAGCACCCAGATTATCTGGATANCCTCCCCCTCACACCCTGCACAGCGCAAACAACATCCTGAATATGTCCCTGCCTCTATGGGTTAATGTTTTAAACCTGAAAATAACTTTTGTATAAAATGGCGTCAATCTACAACTTTTAAATTTAAGCTATAATTGGTGCTTAATTTCTTCATTTTAGTTGTGATTCATTTGGTGTTCACTGTACAGCCCCGTTTGGCTGTTTATAATCTGTATACAGTGCAACTAGCCTGAAAATCAGTCAGTTACTTCAAATAAACTGAAGTTTTATGTGGATAGAGATCAATACTTGATCCAAGGATTCTCAGTTCTGGTTTGTTTAGTTACATGTACAGCCATGAGAAGGATCGTATGTGGAGAAAGACAAGATCAGATACTGGATCCCTCCTGGGCTGCAAGGGAGTTGATCCCAACAGAAACTGGGGATTCCATTTTGGAGGTATTAGTTAATCCTACTCTTTCCGTAATATACCAATCCCAAATCTACACCGTCAATTAAACGAAAACTTTTTCCTAATATTCTGTTCTCCGATTCTAACAAAATTTTAGTAATGTTGAGCATTGTGTGTACTTTCCACTTTCTAAATTTTGTTAATTATTTAATAGTTAACCATATGGTATTACCCACAAAGAATGAACTTAAATGAAGCCCTGAAACTCTTAGATACAGCTGTTTAAAGGTTGATTTTGGACTTCAAAAGAATTCTAAAAGAAAGAATCAAGTTTGTTGCTGAAGTCTCATCCTTTGTGGGTAAACCTGAATCTTAAAGAACTAAACGCTGGAATTAATTCAACCTGACTCCTAGAGAGTGGAGTCAGCAACGACAAGTGCTCTGATATCTACCCTGGACCTGAGGCCTTCTCCGAGATTGAGATGTTGAACATCAAGAACTTTGTAGAATCTCTAGACCCTGTCCCAATCCTAGGTAATATCTCTAGACCCTGTCCCAATCCTAGGTAATATCTCTAGACCCTGTCCCAATCCTTGGTAATATCTGTAGACCCTGTCCCAATCCTAGGTAATATCTCTAGACCCTGTCCCAATCCTAGGTAATAACTCTAAACCCTGTCCCAATCCTATGTAATATCTCTAGACCCTGTCCCTATCCTATGTAATATCTATAGACCCTGTCTCAATCCTAGGTAATATCTATAGACCCTGTCTCAATCCTAGGTAATATCTCTAGACCGTCTCCCAATCCTAGGTAATATCTTTAGAACCTGTCCCAATCCTAGGTAATATCTCTTGACCTTTTCCTAATTTTTACATTTTTATTCCTAAAAATGCTATTATTAGGACATTGCTTCCACTCCTACTCCCAGCTGTGGCTGTGGCCCTATGGCTATGATTACAATGCGCTCCCAGAGAACTGGGAAGAAATTGAACAGCTTGCCATTGATGCTAGTGATGCTCTTTACCAGGTAGCTTAGGAAGAAATCTGGAACATTATTATGAAAAATGAAGCCTTTTCATGACATCAGGATTTTTATAATAATTAAATGCATTTCTAGGTTCATGGAACTGTTTTTGATCCCATCAACTCTGCTGATCTTTGTAAGTAAAAAAAACTACAAAAAAAGAATTAACACAAGATAAATTTTAATGATATATATCATCATAAAATACTGTTTTGTCGTCATTCTGTTTTCAGTTAATATATTTTCTCTCTGAATCTCAATTCGTAATGACGGTTAATCCATTGCCCATTCACAGATCCAGGCAATCATACGCTCTCTTGATTGCATGAATCCGGGAAAAGGCTTGTAAACAGGAGGACCTAACAAACGACCTGGGTGTTACTGTTTGTGCTTTAACAATAATATAATCCAACCTAACAAACGACCTGGGTGTTTGTGCTTTAAAAAAAATATAATCCAATCTAACAAACGACCTGGGTGTTTGTGTTTTAAAAACAATATAATCCAATCTAACAAACGACCTGGGTGTTTGTGCTTTAAAAACAATATAATCCAACCTAACAAACGACCTGGGTGTTTGTGCTTTAGAAATAATATAATCCAATCTAACAAACGACCTGGGTGTTTGTGCTTTAGAAATAATATAATCCAATCTAACAAACGACCTGGGTGTTTGTGCTTTAAAAATAATATAATCCAATCTAACAAACGACCTGGGTGTGATTGTGCTTTGAATGAAAATACAATTATCTTAACTAAAAATATATGTTTTTTCATATCGGTTTTTTAAATAGGTTGAAACGACGGGATTAATTAAACTGTTTATTTCCAGATCCCGCTGCTGGGGCTAGTGATGACTGGTACAAGGGTAGCCTAGGAACTAGGTTTGCTTTCACCACAGAGCTCAGAGATACCGGCAGGTCAGTACTCATGGCCGGGTCAAGAGTCCGGTATCTTAAGAGCGGTATTAGCTAATACCGCTCTAATACCACTCTTAACACTAACACCGGTGTTTAGGAAATACGGATTCATAAGTCGCTAATGCTGCCTAATTTGTGGCAGGATTATCTAGCCTAGAACAGCTGATGCGTTCATAAGTCATCCTAGCTAAAACCAGGATTATCATCCAAACTTTACCGTTTTGACTCTTCTGCGCAACTCTTTTCTCTTCTCAACTTAATAATTTGTTAATAATTATAAAGACGACTTTTAAATAATACATTTTTTATTATATGACGAAAGATAGATTAAAAATTTATGAAAATATCTTGCAAACTAAACTTTTTACATTTCATTATCAAAGTTAAAAAAATAAAAACTTTTCAATAAGATATATTTTTTAGAAAAAAAATCTTCAATAAAGTTTGCTCATAAAATGTTTTTTTTATATTCAACACATTTTATTAATATAGTTATGTAAGGAGGGTGGGGGAGGGGTCATTTTTCTGAATTAAGCAAAATAAGAAGTATTTCTTCGCTTTTTAAGCATCCCTGTATTTTAAACATCCCTGTATTTCATGAGGTTGCGAGAATATCGAATCCAAACCAAATTAATACTGGTAGAACTGGTTATTTAGGGTAGATCATCCTACCTAAATCTACCCTGCGGGTAGATTAGTTAACACCGCTCTTAGTAAAACTGGCATTTCTGTTAATACCGGTATTAGCACAACTTATGAACGCGTAGGGTAGATGATCCTACCAACCAGGATTAGTTAAGAGTGCTATTAAGGGACTCTTGACCCGGCCTTCAGTATTCATTGTACTGTACAAGTGTTCACAATATGCTTCACAAGTGTACTGAATGAAAACAATTAACATCTATTAATTGAAGACGACATATGTGAAGGAAGCGTACAAAATTAACTAATCAGCAACTTATTCTAAATTTCAGTTCAAAGTTGCATTGTACATAAGTTGGTCACAGTATAATTCGATGAAAATGATAAATGTCGTCTTTAAAAGACTTTAACAACGGATTTCTGAATATTTTCTGTTTAGACACGGATTTGTTTTGCCCGCGGACCAGATCATCCCTAGCGGTGAAGAGATGTGGGCTGGGTTTGAGGTTGTAATCAACAGACTTATCGAGGTCTCTGAGGCCGAGAAGCAGTAATTTTGTGAATTTCAGTTTTTTGTCAAATTAATAAATTATCTAAAAACAACTTAATCAATGTTCGAGTGCGTTTATATAAGAAATTTTTAATAATGGTAAAAGTGAAAAAATGGGAATGAGAACAAGCAGATTAGATAAATTATTTTAAATATTTTACTTTCTCCTAGCAGAACAGGTCTGAAGCTGAAGCTACAAAACTAAAATTTGATACAATTATTCGAATAGAAAAAATGTAAAACTAAATGCCTTATTTTTTGTAAAGAATTGAAATAACCCCAATTTTTTTAATGAATTATTTAACGACTTAAAACATTTCGGAAATGTTCTGCAAAGTGATATTTCAATGACCATAGATTGCAATAAAAAATTCATTCCCCCAAGAATTTTTATTTTAACAATCCTGATGTTATTTTGAAACTGTATAAAATTTATTGTTGCAGTTTTTATGGATCTAGTATTTGGGACTTGAGTTCCCAATGTGTTTCAAAATCGTATCCAGCATGGAATACTATTTAAATTCTTTTTAATGTGCCTAGAGATAGAGAGGTATTAGATTGAAAGTACTTCACAATGTTTACATGTAAAAACTATGTTAGCAGCAAATACCTACTCCATAACAATTTACTCAAGACGTATCTATCCAGGTATACTCATTACTATGATCAACCAGGACCAACTCTCCAATTCTAAATGCCACAAAGGCACTATCTCAACCAGGCTTAACTCTCCGGGTCTCAGGACACACAGTCCAAATCTCAACCAGGATTAACTCCCTGGTTCTAAAGGACACACAGTCCAATGAAATTTCTAACAGCTAATTTCTCAACCAGGCTTAACTCCCTGGTTCTAAGGAAACACAGTCCAACAAAATTGCTAACAGAAAATTTCTCAACTTGTATAATTCAAGGAGTACCAAGCTTACTTAGGCTTCTGATAACCCAGAAACAATCAAGATTTATTTTCTTCCAAGTGAGGAAATAATTTCCAAAGTTAAAACCCCTACAGGGAAGACAAGAGTTAACAAGTGAACGGAAGAATGATCTTCAATAATCAAATACATAAATCATAATCTAAAAACCCAAGAAACAATGGAAAATGTATTTTTTTCCCTAAGTGGGTAAATTGTGAAAGAAGGGTTATTATGTAGATTCTGTTATCAGTCATTATTATTAATGATGACAGAACCAAGACGGGGATGTAACCAGTGTGAGCTCAATAGCCTAGAATAATACAGACCCGGAGCTAAGCTCAGATTATTGATTATTGCCTTCAGTCCTCAAACAAACCCGGAGCTAAGCTCAGATTGCAAGTAGTCTGGCCAATAAGCATGACAGCTTATTAGCTCTTTTGTATAGGTGGGGCAGAAAGTGGAACAGATGATAAGTTGCCTTGTGTAAAGTGTTTTCTAAGTCTGTCCATTAAAAAATGCTATCCATAAATCATGCTTTCAACTTATGGAAAATTCCAGCCGCCGTTAAACTCTCTATCTAAAACTCAGGCCAATTTAGGCCACAAGGCTTAGACACAGGAAGGAGCAGAAAATAGAATCAGCCTTGGCTCAAACCGAAATGGAGTTTAGCGTTAACAAAGAATTGAAATGAAGATGATTAACCTGTTACATGGGGCAGAGTAAAGGCAAAGAGTCTGCAAGAGAGCTCCGGCTTTCTTCGATTTATCTGTATCAACCATTATTTGTTCTTATTTATATTTCCCTTCATCTGGCCACTTTTAAATGGTAACACTATTTATATATTTAGATTATCACGAAACCGCTGTGCTTACTTGTATTTTTGCTATACAATATATGTTTTTCTTCCGAAATAACTCGCTGTAACAAAGACGACATGTAAATACATTGTGGGTTTACAGGATCCATTCAATGATAAATAGGGAGTTGCCATTCTATGTTGTGCGCACATGCCCTATAAATTTCCAAAACAGAGAGAGGGGGATTGAATTTTGTAGATCCAGAAATTAGTATTTATTTTGGGTTAGGTTAGGTTAAGACACTTTCTGGGCCGAGCGCTACGGCCACAGGTTAGGTTAAGCTATGATACTTTCTGGGCCGAGCGCTGCGGCTAGGACATGCTAGGGGGCCGAGCGCTGCGGCCACATGTCTTACATTTAAGACCCCACCAGCTGCCATTCTCTACGCAGGCGTCCCACAGATATTATTTTTCTGGATCTACAAAATTCAATCCTTCTCTCTTTGTTTTGGAATTTTACGGGGCATGCGCGCGCAACATAGAATGGCAAATGCCTGATAAATATATGAACGGAAAAAGTAATTATAAATTGAAATCAAATTTTAAATCAATGCTTGCTACAATTCATACAATTTTTGTAAATGGAAAGATTATCAGAATATATTCATTTTGTCCATTCTCACCATGAAACACAAGACAAAAGCATTTTAAGAGGAGTATTGTGACAAAACCAGTCACTCCTCCATGATCCTCTAAAATACCCTACCGTGGGAGGCGGGGGGGCACATTTTGCGCGCTAAAAAATGTTTGTGCCCCCCCTTGGCAACATTGTGCAACCCCCCCCTTAAAAACCCCTTTTCTGAAAAAATATTGATCGTTTTTTAAACTATTCAATCATATTCACAATTCCATGTTACATAGAATTGATTATAATTTTGATTAAAAATCTGTTGATGGAGAATCATGTTTTCGTGCTGCGAATGGTAGATCCTATCCTAGAGCAGAATTATGATTAAAATGGATATTTCTTGTTTTCATAAATATATATAAAAGGAAAATAAAAATATTGAACTCCATAGAATGTTTTTAATGTAATATTAAAAATTTATTTAGATACATTTTTTTAGATAAAAAAATAACCGACGAGTCTTGATTTTAGAGCAAACAGTAAGTTTCTCAGGGTTTACGCGTTTCTTAATAACAGTATTTTGACGATCCTTTTCTAAACATTATATCAGATTCGTTTTCAGTAATATAAGATTCTATTTCAGTAATATAAAATTCTATATCAGTAATATAAGATTCTATATCAGTAATATAAGATTCTATTTTAGTAATATAAGATTCTATTTCAGTAATATAAGATTCTATATCAGTAATATAAGATTCTTTTTCAGTAATATAAGATTCTATTTCAGTAATATAAGATTCTATTTCAGTAATATAAGATTCTATTTCAGTAATATAAGATTCTATTTCAGTAATATAAGATTCTATTTCAGTAACATAAGATTCTATTTTAGTAATATAAGATTCTATTTCAGTAATATAAGATTCTATATCAGTAATATAAGATTCTATTTCACTGGACCAAATGTGCAGAATCTTTTGAGGGAACTCTTGAGCATCCCGGGGCCGTGACAAAGTCTAAAAGAAAATTAAATTTTTTTTCTTCAAAAAGTCCATTTTTTTCCTTCAAAAAATCATTTTTTTTTCAAAAATCAAATTTTTTTTTAATTCGACTTTAAAAATGTTACGGGCAACGCCGGGCACTAAGGAAACTTATGGATACCCTGGGGGTAACATAAGGTAAAAAAACGAAATTTTGTTTTTTGCAAATTTAGTCTTTCTTTGTAAAATTTTATGATATACCATTCGAAAACTGTTTTTAAGGAAAAACCTGCAATTTAAACCTTCAAACTGCTGAAAGAGTTTCAGGTCTGTATTCTCATTCTTCGTAGAGGTAACCTTGCAGAATATACATAGAGTCAGATTATAACATAAGAAGTGTACAGAGTACAGATTATTGTACAATGTACATTGTACATGCACTCTCTATCTGTCATGTACATATATATATATAAAACTAATTAGCTAGTGGTGAGCTCAAGCCTTGAATTCCCCTCATACAAATTCATTGAAGGAATTCTATTAAGAGAATCTCGACAACATCTATCTTTTCCTCTTCATCATGCAGACTTAACCTCCTCCTCCTCCTCTTTTCCTCTTTATCATGCAGACTTAACCTCCTCCTACTCCTCCTCCTCTTTTCCTCTTTATGATGCAGACTTAACCTCCTCCTCCTCCACCTCCTCTTTTCCTCTTTATAATGCAGACTTAACCTCCTCCTACTCCTCCTCCTCTTTTCCTCTTTATCATGCAGACTTAACCTCCTCCTACTCCTCCTCATCTTTTCCTCTTTATCATGCAGACTTAACCTCCTCCTACTCCTCCTCCTCTTTTCCTCTTTATCATGCAGACTTAACCTCCTCTTCCTCCACCTCCTCTTTTCCTCTTTATAATGCAGACTTAACCTCCTCCTACTCCTCCTCTTTTCCTCTTTATCATGCAGACTTAACCTCCTCCTCCTCCTCCTCCTCTTTTCCTCTTTATCATGCAGATTTAACCTCCTCCTACTCCTCCTCATCTTTTCCTCTTTATCATGCAGACTTAACCTTCTCCTCCTCTTTATCATGCAGACTTAACCTCCTCCTCCTCTTTATCATGCAGACTTAACCTCCTCCTTCTCCCCATTTCTTGTCATATTCCCCTTCTCAATTCTACTCAAGACAGTCAAGAGAATTTGAGTTGTACCTGGATAGATACGTTTCTAGAAATATGGAGTAGGCGTTTACTACATATCTAGTATGTATTTAAATTAAAAAGACTAATCATGGTTAGTAAAGAATAGAATTATTTTTAATTGTAGCTTAACGAGAGTTAGTGCTGAAGAATATATACATAATTCCTAAAATCTTTTAATTCAATTCAATTATCTAAATATAATATTATATATTTTTAGAAATTTCTTATGATTTAAATTTATAAAGGGAATTTAGATTAATCTGATTAAAGTTCCATAAAAAATAAGTTATTTAAATATAGTTATAAATCGTGACACGTAGATATGTTTATATAAAGATTGGTCAAATCTTTTGCGAGATTCCTATTAAAAACTTGATTTTTATGTGAAACCTGGGCTTTTGTCCAGGTTTTATGGGGTTTTAAAACTTATTTGAACATTATAGTTAATCTAAATATTTCTTCTTTCCCTAGCAACCTATTTAAAAGCATAAAAACTATCAATTTCTTTTTAATATTCTCTTTTTAACTCGAGGAATAATGATGCCATACATACATCGTAAAACTCGGTTAAAAAAGGATAGTGTAATAGTTAAAAGCTAAAGGTATATTTATAAATAAATGTATTTTAAAATCTATAAAAAAACTCAAGCAGGAAAATCTTCAGTTTTCCAAAACCTTCTAAATAATTTTTTTTTAAAATTCCCTACACGGAGGGATGAGTACAAACGGCTTCTACAAAATCTAGCTATATCATAAAAATGCACGTTTTTTACATATTTAATATCTGACACCTTTTTCTTTTACTCCATTAAATCAGTTCAGTGATAGATAATTTCCAATTAAGCAGCATTAAGCTGATTAATTTGTAAAGTGATACAGAACCTACTGGAAATTAAACGAATTAGCTTTTAAGACTAAAGAGTGTAGAATGTAGATTGTAAAAGTATATTGGGTTCCATATTTTGAAATAAATAAGCAAATCATTTTATATCAAATTTGTAGAGTTCAAGTTTTCAAATTCTACTTTGGCACTTGACTTTTTATTTCTTCATACTTGAAGCTTAAAATTTCAAATCTTCCTTTATTAAACATTATTTTACTAGTAATATAGTATTTCTTTTACAGTTTTAATAATTGGTTTCAGTTCAAAGAGTTTAAATCTTTACAAAAAATAATGTATTTAATGTTTAATAATTCAAAAGCATATATTTTTACATTTCATGCCTCGGAAACCCACCTCTAATCTTACTCAAAAATGCATTTATCCCGCAAATTAAGATAATATTTATCATAATGCAGCCTATGGAGGAAGATTTGTTTTGTTGAACCCTGAGCTGAGATCTTAAAGTAAAGTCCGACCTTCTGAGGATTTTTAAAGCACGCTTAATTCTTAAGCTTGATGGATTCTGATTGGTTCGGATTCGACCAATGAGAGATCGCAATATACTATTTGATTATTGTGTAATTCTAGCCAATTTTGACACAAACAAAGTTTAGCTAAAACTCCAGTAATAGCCAGGGGTTTACTCTGCTAGGCTTACAAAGATGCCGAAACCGAGGTTTACTCCTGTTTAAACTTTAAAAATCTCAGCTCTGGTTGTTGTTTTAGGTTCAGAAATGAATCCCTGCAGTGTATTCCTTCCCATCTTGGTATTCTTGGCATCGGTGAGAATTTAATTATCTTTTTTAATTAAAACCTCAGCAAAATACGGACCTAGAGGAGGGAGGGGGTGCAGAGCCACCATGATCCACGCGAAATGAACTCTGCAGCCTCCTGAATCGCAGAATGAACTCCATGCCCTGCGGAGTGCGGAACCATCTCCGTGCCTCTCGCTACGTCTCCAAGCCTCTGCCATTCGTCTCTGCGTCCAGAACTTTGAGCTCCAAAGAAACATATTTTACTTTTACTTCCACGAAAAACCTTTTTTTGATTTCAGCATGATTAAATAGTTTTAAATGATATAAAACAGTTTGTAAGAAAAAAGAAAATTTCAATTAAATTTCTATTTTTTTTTTAATTTTTCAAATTCCTAAACTTATGCTTAAGTATTTGAAGTTTTTTATAAATTCGACAAAGGAATTGAGTCTTTAACACAAACTCAAATTTTCTAATCCCTATATCTTAGGAGCTTAAAGGAGGAACTCTTTGATATTTCAAACTTAGATTATGTGATCGAGCAGAATTCATAGCTTGAAATATCTAAGGTCTACAGCATATAGGGATTAGAAAATCTGATTTTGTGGCAAAGACTCAAATCCTTTCAGGTAAATCATGTCTGAATCAAACTATATGAGGACCAATTCTCAAAACATAATAATGATTTGGGATCTTTCTTGAGCATGCTTTTATAAAAAGACAAAAATCTAATTAAAAAAACTTATATTTCCAGGGTTTGGTTGTTAGTCAAGATACAACTGTCGAAAACATAACAGATACTGCACATCATGGTGATGATGAATATGACGAAGAATTGGACGAAAAGTCAACTGATTTCATCGATGAAACTTTTGACACAAATTTTTCTCCTGATGGATACACTAATGGGTTAGTTTTTAAAGTTTAGGGGAAGTGATTATCTGTTGATTCAAAAATATTGAATCTACAATCGTTAAAAAAGAGTATATTTTAAACATGATATTATTCTAAGAATCTAATATTTAGTGAGTACGAAGGAGCAGTAGAGTCTTCTGATGTTAAAGTAAGTGAAAAAAAAAACTTAACACTTGCCGCAAACTGTCCAATTTATAATTTATATATATCCTTGCAACCTGACGTTTTTGATTTTTCAAATGTTGACTATAGTTGATCAGCAAAACTTCAAAGATCTATGAATTGCAAAGGATTTTATGAATTTCAAGAAGTCGTTGAATTACTTTCTTTTGCAACTCGTAGTTGCAAAAAATATAAAAATAAAGCTTTCAACTATTAATCTTATTTTGAATTTTAAACGGAATTTAATTGAAGATTTTTATCAGCAGAACCAACGTTTTAATGCTATGTTTGCAAAAGAATCAAAGAAAGCAAAAACGATTTTTACAGAGAAAAGACTAAAAAGAGTAAAAGATATAATCAAACATGAATGATGCCAAAAATCGGCGTGAATTAAAAAGATGCTTAAAAATGCCCGTATTTGTAGACACATATATCTTTTTCACAACCCATAAGGCCTACTTTATGTTTTCAACATAACAAATAAATCTATAATTTTTATTTCTAAAAGTTGTTAGTTCATCGTCGAAAAATACTAACAATCCACCACCAGCTATTTTAAATGTAATATGAATAATAAATATGTAACTTTCCTTTTCAATTCCTTTTCCTTTTATTTTTTTTGAATTAGTTCAGAATGGGGGGAAATATTATTCTCACAGGCCACAAACTCTATTTTTAGAGGTTTTTAAATATTTTCTCCTGAAACACTTACTTTTGTAAATGTTTTGTTATATTTCATAAAAAACAATTACTTTCTTACTTATCTTACTTACACAGAAACGGTTTTCGCCCACGCATCTTTAATTGCTGGTTCAATTTGTAGATTTAAAATTTTGAACTATCCTTGTCAATATAGAGCTGAGTTCTGTATCAGCCAATAGATTGAGAAACCCAATATTTGCGGCCCTATGATTGGTTGGAAAACTTCTCTGCAACAGCTGATATCAAATCAGGGTTGTTCAAAATGTTGAATCGATGATTCAGGATTTGAGCCAGTGAGCGCTAAAAAAGTAGTTTAACCGGTAGTAGGCAGCTCAGCAAATACATTTAATAAATATAAAGATTAAAACATCAGATTTTTTGGGAAGTAATTAATTTCTTTAAGAAATCCAGCTTTTATAACAAAAATAGTTAAGCTACTTTCACTTTTTGTTAAAATCATATAACCTCTAAGCGAAGTAAAGATATTTTTAATTTTCAAGAGACATATTTGTTATTTAGTTCTTTAATTAAAAAACAAATCTCAACATTAATCTCAAGAACTGAAAGGTCAACCCAGACCTAAATATATTTTTTAAAAATGTGGAACTAACAACTTTTTTCTTACTCTGTGAGGTTTGGAGCATCTTTAACACCGAATATAAAATAAATATATATTTGTATGTATATTTGTATATACTGAGCGTCTCATATCATATTAGATTATCTCCAAGCTTTAACACTCAAAATGAACACATAATACTCGAAAAACCTAGCATTTTCTGGAAGAAAATTTTCATATTAGCGTTATTTTTTTTTTTAAATGATTCATTCTTCTTAAATTTTCTAATTAGTCTTGACCAAATTGGACCAAATTAGCTGACATTTTTTTAGGGAACCCATGATGGGTACCCTGTATTTTCTAACTTATATATTTTCTAATTTATATAGGAACAGAATGCAGAGATCGTGTACAGTGACCAACTATACAATACTAGTGAAGGTAAGAATTACATTGTTTTTAAATATAAAATCCGTGTTCGCCGCCGACTTTTCTGTTTTCCTAGTCGGATTTTCCCAAAAATCGAATATCTAACTATTGACCGGAGAGAAGCTATTCCTAAAATCATGTTAGTTACCAAAAAAATGGATCCTATTGATTCGGCCGTTTATAAATATAAAGAAACACGTCACATTATTATATACTTAAATCATGAGTCATCTTTTTGTAACCATAAACAGAAAGAAAGTACTACACTTTCAAAACATATTTGGAAACTAAAAGAAAAAATAAGCCTAATAATATCAAATGGTTTATAGGCACCACACCGAATCATAATATTATCCAACCAAGAAAACATGTAATTTGTATAATACCGAAAAAAACTCTTTTAAATCAACATCTTCTGAATCAGCGAAGTTAACTGATAAGAACCTGTATGTCATAGAAGAAAATATCCGATATCATCTGCTTTGTGAAATGTAGCCATTGCAGGATTTGATAGTTTTTGTATTGCAGTTGTGTTGTTAATTGCAGTATATAACTGTATAATGATTTTTTTTACTGAGATTGTTTAAACTATCTGTTGTTGTGATCTAGTTCAATTAAATTTTTAAACATCCGCCAAAATGTGATCTGAAATTCCTCAAAATTTCAGTAGATCAAAGATTTACTACGAAAGAGTGCTGGTTATGCATGAAACATAATGTAGAGTTGATTTCTTTGTCAAATAGAAATGTGAAGTTTAAAATGGATATATATAGATATACCCTTCCAGGGGGAGGTATATTGTTCCCCCCCCCACCTCCTTGTGACTGTCCCATTGGGAACAAATATCAAAAATGCCAACGCTCAAAAGATGAACAAGTATGAACATTTTATCACAGATATAACAACTAGGGATGTGTCTGTTCATACTTTTGAAATCGGCTCAAGAGAATATATCTCACCATTAAATAAGGCGATTCTAAAGAAACTGCATAAGTTCTACAAACCCAGTGTTAGTTTCAAAGCAATGTGTGAAAATCTATCAAGCCTTGCAGTACTGACATCATACCACATTTTTAGAAAACGAAAAACACTAGACTGGGACCAAGAAACCCCATTTCTGAAAACCACATCTGAACAACTAAACTAAACTCATGCTAAAAGTCTTGTATTGCACCTGTTTTTTGGCAAACCCTGTCAAGTATAAAATGCGATATCCAGAAAAAAGAGTATTAGTTTGTAAACTTTTATATTGTTTAATGTAATTTTGCTTTAGAAAAATATAACTGATGAATATATATACAATATATTATATATAGATAAAAGAATTCATCACATTTTATTCAAATTTTATTTTAGTATCTAACCCATTGCAAGACCTAGTAAAGGATTCTACTCACAGAGCTTTGAGGAATATTTCACAGATTAAATTTCACAACAATTAATTTTCTTATTTAACCGAACAAAAAACATTTTTTCATCGTTCTTATTTATTTTAAATTTGGAAATGTCTGGCAGTGATTTCAAAGCTGATGAAGATCTTTACGATAACCCAAGATTGTATAAAGGGTAAGTTAGCTTTTTTTGGAAAAAAAATATTTTTTAAAGATGTTTTTCAAATACCTACAAATGAAATAAAGCAGCAAAATAATCAGACTTTTACTCTGTCTTGAAAATACTAGGCTTTTCCTCTATTTCAACTTTTCCTCTATTTCAACTTTTAATTGTGGCTTTATCTGTGCGCATCTTTCTCTTTGTACAGTAAAAAACAAAACAAAAAAAGTTTGCGGATTTCATAATATTTTTTTCGCGCATTTTCAAAATTTTACAAAAATAAAAACTTTTAAACGCAAATTTTTAGTATTTTGATCATTTATAAACCTTCCCTGGGTGACGTGAGGTCCCACACAAAATTTGGGCCCTATCGGTTCAGCCGTTTTGACGTGTATTGGTAACAAACAAACAAACACCCAGACAGACAAGCTAAATTTATATATAGAAGAGGTAGGGGCGCGATAAAACTAAGTTTTTAGAAACTTTGTCATTTCGTTATCGATAATAACAACTGAATCGTTTTCAATAGCATTGACACTAACAATGGAAAACGAGATTTCAAAATCGCAATATTCTTCCAGTTTCTTTGTTACATTTGCAGGGTTACCCACAAAAGAGGCCACTTCAGAAATGACTGTGCAAGAAATTTATACTGTTTCTTTCTTTGCTTAATCATTTTAGAAGCTGTTGTTAACATATTTTAAGAGTTTTATGTCGCCTTCACAGTATAATCCTTTGTGGGTAACACTGTACATATTAATGTTCCCCATGGCCCAGAGTCATGCAGTTATCAAGCAAAAATAAGGTTAAATTTGGTTCAAAACACAAACTCTGATTTTCTGATGATAGGTTGAAATGTCAAAGGTTTCTACCATCAGATTGCAAAGATATAGGAATTAGAAAATCAGAATTTGTGGCAAATATTCAGTTTCTTTGTTAGGTTTTACAAGAAGTGGACTCCAGAGAGTGTTGCAGCTGGGAAGGATGCCAGACTTCTTGAGGCTGCTTTATATACTCTGGAAAACCGATCCAGGTAGAAGAAATCAGCTGATCCAGGTAGAAGAAATCAGCTGATCTCAAATAGCATGGTGGCGCAAAATGTTGTATTTAAAATTATCGACCTCAGGTTGAAATTGTTGTTTTGTTTTAACCTCATGCAGTACACTTTGTTTAGTACTGTTGGAAGTGCAATTATGCTGGAGGAGATATGATAAAATTATTGTCTTGTTTTAACCCCATGCAGTACACTTTGTTTAGTACTGTTGGCAGTGATTATGCTGGAGGAGATGATATGATAAAATTATTGTCTTTTTTTAACCCCATGCAGTACACTTTGTTTAGTACTGTTGGAAGTGATTATGCTGGGGGAGATGATATGATGAAAGAATTGAAAAATGTTACTAAGGTAATAATTAAATAATAATTTTCAATAAAAGTTATGACTTAAATGATTGGAACACGAATGATCTTTCATTCAAAAGTCAAAGACTTTATACACTTTAATATATGATAGAATAGACCAACTAAACAGTTTAAAAAAGCAAATACAAAAAATCCCCACATTTAAAGGTGAAATTTGAGACTCGCTGAACATCTAACCAGGACTTTTGGTTTCCCCCGGAGGGGGGGTGGGGGGGGATACATGCCAAAACAGTTGAAACCGTTCCACAAAAATCTGATGCGGCAAGCGCGCTTAAAGGGACTTCATACAATTTCCGATTTAACTACCCTTTGAAGCTTTGTGTGATTAAGTATGACTTGAAAGCCAGTGTTTTAATTTTTGAAAACTGCGCATTTCTACTGCAGAAAAACGCATCGGAATTAAACAATTTTAAGCATTAGAAAACGACAATATCTTTCACATTATTTATCAGATAAAGTATAAAGGGTACCGTTGTAAATCGGGCATTGTTGTCTTTGTCACTTGAAACTAGGCTGACAGTCCCTTTAACAATTAGTAATCATTCTTCACACCAATATCCTGCAACTCTTGTAATACCAGGATATGAAATAACACAACTTTGAAAAATCTTTTAAATTTAATACTTTTCGGGTAACCCTGGTTTAGATATTTTACCATAAAGGAATTGAGTTTTTGCCACAAACTCTGATTTTCTAATCACTATGTGTTTTTATCCAAATGTCTTAGACCTTTAATTTTTCAAACTATGAATTCTGTTAGATCAAATAATCTATGTTTAAAATATCAAAGGATTACACCATCCGGTAATGAATTTATAGAGAATAGAAAATTGGCAAATGTGGCAAAAACTCAATTCCTTTAGGCGGAAAAAATTAAACTGGTCCTGAATGAACTAATGACCATGGCGAAGAAAGAGCCAGGTATGTATAATGAACTGAACTCTCTCCACAAACTCTAATTTTCTAATTAAATATGAAATGTCTACGACATCATGTTGTAAAGATGTAGGAGTTTTTTTATTGTGAGAATATCAAATAAATAGTAAAATTGATATATGAGATTCGGTAATGTTACATCGTCTATACGCAACATCCCCCCTACTGAACTTATGACCTACTAACTTTCCAACCTACTGCAATATCGGACCTACGCCAGCTGTTTATTTTAGTATTAATTGAGGGTTAGGTTAGGTTAAGACAATTTCTGGGCCGAGCGCTGCGGCTAGGACAGGCTAGGGGGTCGAGCGCCGCGGCTAGGACAGGCTAGGGGGCCGGGCGCTGCGGCCACAAGTCCATATAGCAGCTGTAATACCACGTGCTAGTAGGTCGGATGTGTAGTATAGCGGATTTGGCGTAGGTCAGAACTGGAGTATGGCGGATATGTGTAGGTCGAAAAATACACCACCATGAGATTCCTTCGCCCCCATCTTCTATTTTAACTTTTAATTGTTGCTCTATCTGTGGCATTTTCCCTTCTTTGTACCATCCATGAACCTTCCCATGGGATCAAGTAAGTTGCATAAATAAGTTGGGGTGATCGGTTCAGCCGTTTTTACGTTCATAACAAGCAAAATATATAGATTTTGGAAACTTGAGAATTATTTAGAAAATAGTTGTTTAGTTGATAATATTGACTTTACTTTTCTACAGGACAAGATTATCAACAGGAAGGACTAGGAGGTGAAAATGAAACCCTATCGAACACGTGAGTATTTTGGTTTAGATGAGCTAAAAACTCTTGTATTGGATACACCCTCCCTGAATCCAGATTGCTCTGATTCTCTGAATCACTTGCAGCTGTAGTACATTTGAATTTCCGAGCCGGGTCAACCTTTCCAGTCCCAGTTTGTACTGTAGCTAGCTCTATGGACAGGACTAGCCGGTGCAACAAGGTTGACGCGGTCAGACTTTTTGCTTAGCAAAGGTTGAATTTACTTTCACTAAAGTGACAGATTTGCGTGGAATACACCAATGGACACTTTCGATTTTCTTCTTACTCCTCTTTTTAGATTATCCCTGCTGGATTTTGACCAATAAAGGTTGTTAATTTATCGCAGTCAAAATTTTTGAAATTTCTCGGCTTCTGATTGACTGAACGGTTTCTACAATCTACATTCAGAGCTGGGAACTTTAGAATGGTGGATATCGAGATTATTGCTTAATCCTCTCTTTTTTGATAATCTCGAGACTAACATAATCTCGAGATCATGTTAGTCTCGAGATTAAATATTTAGAGGCTAGAACAACAAATTTGATTCTAGGAAAGCCAGATTTGTTCGTTTTCTTGGATGGAAGGGGTTTCACTTTATTTCTCACGCATTTATTTATAAATACATTAGTTAAAATTTGTTAAAAAAGAATCTCAAACCTATTCTTAAATATTTGTCTTCACCGATTAGTTTACAAAATGGCCGACAACATATTCTTTATTTTCTAAAAATTGTGGATTTCTCTCATGGGATCGAATTTATTTTCAAGGCTGTCATTGTTCAATAAAATTTACGAACTATATTCCTGCAGTCTCATTAGAGAAAACAAGAGAGAAACAGAGTGGATTAAGGACTAAAATTAAAAGTTTCCACAGTGGATATTCGGATTAAGTAGTTGGGATTAAAGGTTATCCATTCCAAAGTTCCCAGCTCTGAGCTGAACACTTTAGAATGGTGGATATCTGGATTAAGGCTTAATCAACTCTTTTTCTTAATCTCGAGATTAAATATTGCTTGTTCTCCTCTCATTTTTAATCTCCAGATTAATTATCCGATCAGGATTAAGGATATCCCATTCTAAAGTTTTCAGAGCTGAAAACTTTAGAATGGAATATCCTCAATCTCGATCTGTTAATTAATCTGGAGATTAAATTCATGAGGACAACAAGCAATATTTAATCTGAGCTGGGAACTTTTGAATGGCGGATATAAGGATTAATGCTTGATCCACTCTTTTTCTTACTTTCCAAATTAAATATGGCTTGTTCTCCTCATGTTATTAATCTCCAGATTAATTAACCGATCAGGATTAAGGATATCCCATTCTAAAGTTTTCAGCTCTGGAGATTAAGAAAAGCATTAATCCCGATATCCACCATTCAAAAGTTCCCAGCTCAGCTCAGATTGGTTTTTAGTTTTGTGGTTAAACGGATTTATTTAATTCGTCGTTATTCAGGGAATTTGACCAATGAGAGATCAAAAACATCAATTAATTAATACATTGCATGTTTTATTTATATTTATGACATATATATCTATTTTTGACGTACCTAAAGCAAAAATATTAATTAAAATAAAAAAATTTGAATTCGTTTTCATGTTAGAATTATTTTCAAAATTGTTTTACAAAAATTCCCAATTTGCATTTTTAAATTGTATCCATCACTGCAACGACATTGTAGAATAAGCTGAATAAATTATCTGTAGAAGGATTTATAAAGTATCTTTAAGTATGAAGATGCACCCTAGACCAATTGTAATATATGTTAACGAAATTATTGAAAAGTATTTACCTTGGAACTTAGATCTATAACTCTTGAAGCTTTATAAGCCTATTTGAACCTGCTTGACAGACAGAATAAAATGCATATAAAGTGATAACCAGAAAACCATGAAATAGGAAGACGACTTTTATAATCAAGTTACGAAATAAAGAAGTTCAATGCAACACAGCAATTGTGCAGTGTACAGACAGACCCATTTCACTAAATCAGTGATTTAGTTAGTGTCTTGTAAAACTATTTGTTTTCGGACCAAATCAAATACATTTCAGTATTGCTATAATGTCGTCTTCCAATTCCATTGTTTCCTGGTTATCACTGTGTTTATTTATATTTTAGAGCAAAGTCCTGCCAAAACTCAGAAATTACATGCCAGCCATCCAGCAAGTAAGATTTTAATATCTCTAGTCAGATATTATGTTCTCTGTAAGATTTTAATATCTATAGTAAGATTTTAATATCTCTAGTAAGATATTAATATCTCTAGTAAGATTTTAATATCTCTAGTAAGATATTAATTTCTCTAGTAAGATATTAATATCTCTAGTAAGATTTTAATATCTCTAGTAAGATTTTAATATCTCTAGTCAGATATTATGTTCTCTGTAAGATTTTAATATCTCTAGTAAGATTTTAATATCTATAGTAAGATTTTAATATCTCTAGTAAGATTTTAATATCTCTAGTCAGATATTAATATCTCTAGTAAGATTTTAATATCTCTAGTAAGATGTTTATATCTCTAGTAAGATATTAATATCTCTAGTAAGATATTAATATCTCTAGTAAGATTTTGATATCTCTAGTAAGATTTTAATATCTCTAGTAAGATTTTTATATCTCTAGTTAGATATTATGTTCTCTGTAAGATTTTAATATCTCTAGTAAGATTTTAATATCTCTAGTAAGAATTTAATTACTCTAGTAAGATTTTTATATCTCTAGTCAGATATTATGTTCTCTGTAAGATTTTAATATCTGTAGTAAGATTTAATATCTCTAGTAAGATTTAATATCTCTAGTCAGATATAATGTTCTCTGTAAACCAAGATATGCAGACTCTAATGCAAAAATCAAGCAGTAAATTGACAATAATTTCCTTTAAACTTAAGCTAGAAACAAAAGCCTTGCAGGTTTAAAATGTATATGCCTAGCGCTATAAAAAAGTAAAGAGGAGTTTGTAATTGTAAATAAAACCAAAAGCCAAGGTGTTGCAACACTGTAAAGTCGAGGCTGTCTAAAAGATTTATATGTCTAACTTTCAGAGTTGTCTAGATCTGTTAAGGATTCATAAAAGATTTAAAATACGACCAATGTTATATTCATATATGCTCTGGGTGGCCTCTTTTTAATCTATGGTGAACATATCCTGAAACCCATATATTTCCAGCTGAGCTGGGGTACAATTTTCACTATTTTCTTATGGGTTTAAAAGTAAAATATTACCCAGCTGAGTACACCTTTCATTATTTGCGCACTTTTTGTTTTGTTTTTGTTTCTTTTATATGATCATCTTCCAGCATTAATATTTGAGATTTTCTTTAATATGTACTTTTTAAAAGTAAACAATACTAGATGTTATATAATTGACGTGCCATTTTTGTGTACTTATTTATTTTAATAGTGTTATTAAAATTAATTAATATTAATAGTCATATTTCTTTATATTTCTTAATATTTTCCAGGGCATAAAATTATCTAAAACCCTACTGGTTGAAGGGGGCTCGTAAAGTATTTTTCGCCAAAAACATTTCTTTTTCTCGAGGGTTCTCAAAAAAGAAAAGTTTTTGCCTCAGATACTTTATAACTCGCCTCTCTTCTTATTATCAATTATAATTTTTCGAATATATTTTTTATCTTTCAAAATTTTATACCTTTGTGTGAGCAAAAAGGTTTATAAAAGTGAGTTGCGAATTTAACACTTGTTGAAAGACAATTTTTGTTGATATTTCATAATATTTTGTCTTTTTCATGATATGAGAGTTACTTTTGAAAACATTTATTCCTGTTTCGAGGATTTTTAATAATGAAGACGACATTGTCATATTTTCCAGGAATTTTCGCCAGGGAAAATTATTTTTAAAAAAAATCTAAAATATTATGTAATATCAACTATTTACGAATGCGTCGAAAAATAATCGATGATTACTGTTTAAAATATCTGAATGATTTGTTTGGAATTTAATTGATTTGTTTACGATCCGAGTTTGTATGGACGCTGCGTTCTTCGGTGTGAGTCGTTTTCAACAATAACAATCTTCTCCTTATAGACGCAACAGATAGAAGTAAGATTAGTAGCGATCAAAAGCGCTTTTTTATCGCATTAAGCCTTTACCCCCTTTAATTTTTCGCGAACACTCCCTTTAATTGACTCTCCAATTATAGAGAGGGGGGTGTCCGATTCAGAACAGTACCTTTAAAAGCTTTGTCACATTAAGAATACATGTAATATATATCTTTGATTTGGTTTAAAAGGTACTGTTATGAAATTATACAGCAGTCCCTTTCAATTGTAAGCACTGATATGGACGCATACCCGTGTGATACACTAATAAGAATGAGGACGCATAAAAGTGTAACAAAAATATATTTAAATAGGTATAGAGTAGAGTCTGGAGAGTGTAATAACCTACAGAATTCTCTCTGGGGGAAAGCTAACTCAGCTCTATCTCGTCTTTACCGAAACAGCTATGAAGATGGTATTTTCTAAAATTTATTATTCTTAGTTTTGTTAATTTCTTTTTACTAAAAATTATACGTTAAATTGGGATTTAAAGTAATCCTAAATTACATACCTGTCTTATAATATTTTAGAAATAAGAAGGATATTACAGCTTTTCTGTCTAAACACTTCCTTTCTTTTCTTGATGCTACACGAATCTGAAAATCACTTGAATAGAAACAATCAATTTTAATTTAATTAACTTAATTAATTTTGATTAAACAAAGGTTTAAAAGGTACCATTGGGAATCTGACATGCAACTCTTTACATTTAAAATTTGAAAAAAATTTGAATTTTCTTCAGGGATTGGTGGCCCAAGGTTATCCGCAAGATTAAGAAAACAAGTAAGTGTGTTTACTTTCTTGTTTAAAACCAAAGAGGTCAAAGCAATTTTGACGTTGACATGTTGAATACAGGATAAGGGGGGGGGGAGGAATCTCAATTTATACTACCCAGCTAGGGTTAAGTTTAAAAGATGTAATGTCTATTGATTAAACTTGTTTATATTCAAGAATAGAGTTCGTCTTCCTAATCCTCGTTTAATCAGCAAGAGAGTTCATGAAAACAAGGTGAAAATATCAAACATAAACATTTAAACATTTAGACAATATAAAATCAGGGGTCCATATAATTCCCAAAATAGCTGGTTTTCTATAAAAAAAAACTATAAAAAATGCCCCCAATTGTAAAACAAATGTAAAAATGTAAAAAAGATTCCACTGACACATTTGCCCCCATTTTAAAAATTTGACCCCATTTCTTTCAAATTTCTCAATCCCAAATGGGATTGATAAAGGAATTATATGGACCCCTGTATAAAATATATTTGGGTGATTATTCCTTTTTATCAGACCAATCAGACCCCAGGATTATGGTCGGTCGAAACTTAAAAAAGATTGCATATTAAACTGTATATGACATTTTTTTTTGGAGGGGGGGGGAATTCGTCTCTGAACACTAGAAATCTATTGTTATCATTTCAAAATGCATGAAAGGCTTGCAGAAAGTGTTGTAAAAATGTACTTTGCCCAATTAACAGAAAGTTTTATCTAGAAAGAAAGTAACATTCCGAGTGAGAAGATTACTCATCTAGCAATGCAGTTTGGACAGTTTCTTGCTCATGAGATTACACTGATGCCAGAACCAGGTTAAATCTTATCTAGAACTTTAAAACTATCCTAGAACTATAACCTTGTCTTATCTGTAATAAATGCCAACTCCCAAGTAGGTCTCATTATCTATGTCTCTCTAGGTAAATTAAGTTAAACCATATAAGTGATCAGAGAACCCCTTCTAGTTGCAGTATATTTACAAGTATCCCCCAAGTATCAGAAGGAGAATACTGTCCTATTTAGAACTTGAATACTGTCCTGTCTAGAACTTGAATACTGTCCTATCTAGAACTTGAATACTGTCCTATCTAGAACTTGAATACTGTCCTATCTAGAACTTATCTAGAACTTGAATACTGTCCTATCTAGAACTTAAATGCTGTCCTATCTAGAACTTGAATACTGTCCTATCTAGAACTTGAATACTGTCCTATCTAGAACTTCAATGCTGCGCTCCTGAGATAATCAACAAATCTAGATGTTTTTCAATCAGGTCATAAGAGCATAATATGCTAAAGTCAATTTATCAACTTGTAACGTTTCATGATCGATGCAATTTATTAAGAATAATTTTATTGTTCATAAAGATTTCTATTTTTACTAAATTTGGATGATGTTTATTATGGAAGTAAGAATTATTGATTTTGAGTAGCGTTAGAATTTTGTTAAAACTTAAATATTAAAGCAGGTTGATTTGTTTAAAGAAGGTTTGGTGATTTATAAATTTATTTGGAACATTTATTAATGAAGGTTGGATGGAAAAGGTATGATAGATATGGAAACAGATGAAATTCATCTTCTCTCACAACCAAACCAACAACAAAACTGCATTTCTTTTTCAAGGTATAGTTTCCCTTTTGTAAACCGTTTTCAAGGTATAGTTTCCCTTTTGTAAACCGTTTGAAAGGTATAGTTTCCCTTTCGTAAACCGTTTTCAAGGTATAGTTTCCCTTCTGTAATACCTTATTCAAGATATAGTTTCCCTTTTGTAATACCATATTCAAGATATAGTTTCCCTTTTGTATACCGTTTTCAAGGTATAGTTTCCCTTTTGTAAACCGTTTTCAAGATAGTTTTCCTTTAGCAATACTTTTTCAAGGTATAATATTTCTTTAGCAATACCTTTGTCAAGATATAGTTTTCCTTTTGCAATACCATTTTCAAGTTATAGTTTTCCTTTAGCAATACCTTTTTCAAGGTATAGTTTTCCTTTAGCAATACTTTTTCAAGGAATAATATTGTTTTAGCAATACCTTTGTCAAGATATAGTTTCCTTTTTGTAATACCGTTTTCAAGATATAGTTTTCCCTTAGCAATACTTTTTCAAGATATAGTTTCCCTTAGCAATACTTTTTTCAAGGCGTAATATTCCTTTACCAATATCATTATCAAGGTATAGTTTTCCTTTAGCAATACTGTTTTCAATATATAGTTTTCCTTTAGCAATACCTTCTTCAAGATATGTTTTTCCTTTTGCAATACCGTTTTCAAAATATAATTTTCTTCTGCAATACCTTCTTCAAGATATAGTTTTCCTTTAGCAATACCTTCTTCAAGGTATAGTTTTCCTTTAGCAATACCTTCTTCAAGATATAGTTTTCCTTTTGAAATACCTTTTTCAAGGTATAATATTCCTTTAGAAATACCTATGTCAAGATATAGTTTTCCTTTGCGATACCATTTTCAAGATGTAGTTTTCCTTTAGCAATACCATTTTCAAGATATAGTTTTCCTTTAGCAATACTGTTTTCAAGGCATAGTTTTCCTTTGGCAATACTGTTTTCAAGATATAGTTTTTCCTTTAGCAATCCTTTTTTAAGATATAGTTTTCCTTTTGCAATACCATTTTTAAGATATAGTTTTCCTTTAGCAATACCATTTTCAAGGTATAGTTTTCCTTTAGCAATACCATTTTCAAGATGTAGTTTTCCTTTAGCAATACCTTATTCAAGATATAGTTTTCTTTTTGCAATACCTTTTTCCTTTAGCTCAACCTTGCAATGCATATCCATTCACTTGATTAATTAAAAATTATCTTTATATTTTAAATTAACTGGAAAATACAATTTTAATTGTCAGAATCCGGAAGTAAGATCCAAGATTATGATTGGCAAATATTTAAAATGAATTTGATCCTGTGTAGATGGGATTAACATCCATTGAGCATTTTAGATATTTAACAGTGAAGGAAACTTGTTTAGGTATCAATTGTTCTAGGATACTGTAAATGCAATTTTTAATGTCATTTCATAAAAGAAAAAGAGCGGCATGTCCAATGTACGATGGTACCCTTTAATCTTTTATCTCTGAGTTACCAGATATAGCTTGGAAAATTGTTTAGTTCTAATATTTGCCTTCATTATAATACATCATAAATGTCTATTATTATATTTGAAAATAATCAATATTGAGAAAAAAATAATTTGATTTCTTGTGTAGTAAACATAAAACTGCAAAAAAAGAAACCCAGGAATGTATTGCATAGCTTAATAGATAGATTGGATCTAACATCTTATATATAGCTAACTGATTTCAATCACTTGTTCTGCAAGGTCGGACCCTGCCTGTGATACTGGTACTGGTGAGTCTGTCCGACAACAGCTGAATGGTATAACCAGTTTTATAGATGGCTCTGCCATCTACGGTAGCTCAGCTGCTCTCACAGACCATCTTAGGTAATAAATTAGAGCTTTAACAAAGTTTTTCTTAAATTGTCATCTTGTGATTTATGTATGTTGAATAAAAAGATGCAGCAAAGAAACTTTTTTTTTCTTAACAAAATAGACTTCAAATAAAATAATTATTATTATTGTCATTATCTGTTTGATTTAATTAAGATGGAAAGAGAAAAATTGGAGATTTCTTGGCTTTCTTCAGATAAATACAGGGAACTACAGAGATCTCCCCACCAGGTTAACAAAATCCTTAAATATTAATTAATGATATTTGAGGCATACATTTTTTTTATAATTTTAATAATATTTTTAATAAGAAGATTTAAGATGAAATGTTAATCTTGGACTCAAAAGAAGAAAAGGACTTTTACATATTATTCTACAATCTATAACCTTTAAATATCTTTATTCTCTTTCTTTTTTTACTTATAATGATTTTTTAATTATCAAGATATTATTAATTCTGATAATTTAATTAATAAAATTAGATTTTATTTAGAACTCAAGTAGGGGAGGGAGACAATTTTTCCCCAACAGAAGGACATTTTAAGGTTAGTTTTCATAATCAACAAATGCATTATTAGGGTATTTGGCTCAGATCTCGACCAACTCATTTGGACATCCATGAGAAATTGTATTAACCCAACACCAACCTAACCTACAATCTTTCCAAAAATATTGGTTAACAATAAATTTTCTCACGTAATCATAAAGAGTTTTGAACAATTTTTATTTGTTGCAATACAATATTAGTTTATCTAATCTTTTTTTTGTTAATTGACAGCAAATAAACTTTTGATATTAAGATATCTGGGGATCTAAGAGTCACTGAACACCCAGGACTTGCAGTCTTGCATACACTTTGGCACAATGAACACAATAGGTTAGTAGTCAAAGAACATAATGGGTTTGTGATCAATGAACACAATAGGTTAGTAGCCAAAGAACATAATGGGTTAGTGTTCATTTAACATAATTGGTCAGTTGTCAAAGAATATGATAGGCTAACTTGGCCGTTGAACATAATAGGTTAGCAAAGAACATAATGGGTTTGTGATCAATGAACACAATAGGTTAGTAGTCAAAGAACATAATGGGTTTGTGATCAATGAACACAATAGGTTAGTAGCCAAAGAACATAATGGGTTAGTGTTCATTTAACATAATTGGTCAGTTGTCAAAGAATATGATAGGCTAACTTGGCCGTTGAACATAATAGGTTAGTGGTCATTGAACATAATAAGTCAGTGGTCAAAGAACATGATAGGTTAGCTTAGACATTGAACATAAGAGGTAGGTTAGTTATCATTGAACAATATAGGTCAGTGGTCAAAGAACATAAGAGGTTAGTGGTCATCGAACAGAAAAGGCAGATGTCAAAGACATGTTAGGTTTGTGGTCATTGAACATAATAGTTCAGCAGTCAAAGAACATAATAGGTTTACTTGGTCATTGAACTTAATAGGTCAGTGGTCAAAAAACACAATAGTGTCTTTACTGAACAGAATAGGTCACTGGATAATGTATATATTAATTCTTTCAATAATGAAACTGAAAAGATTCAACAAATTTCTTCAACCTCAGTTTCCATTGTATCATGGACAATATGTATTTTCAATAATATGCATGAAATTATAAATTACCCATCATATTTAATTTATGTTATATTTTAATTGTGTAAGAAATATTTCTTGTGTATATATAAAAATTGTATAAAAAATATTTGTATCTAAGTTAGTTTGTAACTTTTAGCCAGTCAACAATCAAAGACTTATAAGCAATAATAAAATGTTACATTTACCCTCCTGGTTAAGAAAATATATGTGACATATCCGTTTATTTTCCAAGTGTTGGATAATTTATACGAATGGGTCGAAAAATAATCGATGACTATTGGTTGTAATATCTGAATGTCTTGTTAGGAATTAAATTGAGTTTTTACGATCTGAGTTGAATATTGCAGCTTTCTGAATTTGTATGGACACTACGTTCTTCGGTATGAGTCGTTTTTAACAATTTTCTCCTTATAGACGCAACAGCTATAGAAGTAAGAATAGTAGCGATCAAAAGTGCTTATTTTTCGCCTTAAGCCTATTTTCACGAAAACTCCCCTTAAAGAAAACTTTATCACTGTGAACAACTGCACTATGAGCCACTGGACACAAATAAAACCTGATGGATGATGGCTGGATAATGCTGGATACATCTTATAGTTTAACTTAATCCATTTATATTTCTAGAATTGCTCACAATTTAAGGAAACAAACTCCAATTAAAGGTAAAAATACTGGCTTTTGGAAGATTTTAAATCCAAATCCTGAGATTAATTCTTCATTGAATTATTTTGTTTAACGATGATTCTTTTAAAGACAATAGTTAAGCATAGAAAAATGAATCATTCATTGAAAATAAAGCATTTCTTTTTAATAAATTAGAAATAATATAAATAGTAGTTTTAAATTAGAGTTTATGGATGAGAAGAAAATGGATATAAAAGCTAGAGATGAATTTTTGTTTCAAGAAACTAGAAGGTACAAAATTAAATTTAAATTATTTAAAAATATAAAAAATAAAAAATGAAATAACAAGGAAATAACATCAACAGCCTGATTTGACTTGAAAAGAGAAAATATTAAAAAAGATAATTTGTTGCCTTTCATTACAATGGAATGATCAATAAAGAATTGAGTATTTGGCACAAACTCTGATTTTCAATCCATACATCTTTACAACCTAATGTTTAGACCTAAGATATTTCAAACTATGAATTCGGTTAAACTAAGATAATCTAAATTTAAAATATCAAAGGTTTAGACATTCAGGTTTCTTTATCATGAATATTCAGTAAAACAACAAGAATAGTACTGTGTACATGAATATTCAGCAAAAACACAATAATTATGTACTTAACACCTGAAGATCAAGCAAATCAACAAGAATAGTACTTTTACTTGAAAATCCTGCAAAACAACAATTGTACAATAAAAAGTCTCCAAAACGACAGGGGATTAACTTTGTGTTACCTCTTGGTGTAAACATTATATTTTTAATATATTAGCTAGCAAATGTGTACAGTCTACATTGGCCAAGGGTTTTCCAAGATATTTTATCTGTTTTCCTGTAAAAAAAGAATCATTTTGATTTTTAGAATTCTGGAAGCAGAACTGCAGCTTGTGGTGTACAGGGAATACTTACCAGTTGGTGAACAATGATAGATTGATAAAATTTAGAAAATTCAATAATGAGTTAATCTTTGGTTTAGATCAAATTTTACGGAAATGAATATTAATTTTACATATGTATATATATATACATATATATATACATAGATAAACATAAATATAGCATGGCTCATTAATACCACATATTAATTAATAGAGAAGAAAATAAGATTTAAAAGTTAGTTTTGTAGTTATTGGTCCTGCTATGATGAAGGAATATGATCTTTATATTAACTCATCAGGTGAAATAAATATAATGAAACCTACAATAAATATCACCATTATAGACACAAACTATTCAAAAGTAAACAAACTAAAAACAAGTTAATTTAGTTTAAACTCTGAAAGAAATATTCCAAAAATTACAATTTATAATGTATGTTAATGTTACTAAGGTTATTACATACAGTACAAGAAAAAAATTAGCTTCTAAACCTACAAATCAAATGAATGCAATAGCTATTTAATACACTGTTGTTTTGGTTCGCAGTGTTATAAGGTTTTTGAACTGAAAATTATTCTTTATCGAGAAGGTTGAAGCCTTTTTAGATTTTATTTTGTCCCGAGCTTTAGCGAGGGACAAAATACAATCTTAGAAGGCGAGAACCTTTGAGATAAAGAGAAAATTCAAGTTCAAAAACTTTAAAGCATGTTGCGCCAAAATAATAGTTTTACAAAAAATTTAGGAAATTTCCACACGTTTCATAAATTACCTATAACACTATCATTTTGGCCTGATGTGCTACACAGTTTTTGGACTGAATTTTCTCTAAAACTTAAAGGTTCTCGCCTTTTAAAAATGCAAGAACCTTCTCGTTAAAGAACAAATTTCTGTTCAAAAACTTTGTAACACTGCAAACCAAAATAACAGTGATATAAATAATTTTACTTGTCTTTTAATTACTTTGCTTAAACAATCAACAATTATACTTTTCATATACTAAACATACAAGAAGACGTAAAGTTTGCAATTACAAAAGCCTAGAAAAAACTAAAGTAATGTATAACAGAAATACAGTTAGAACTAAGATAAAAATAAGCAAAACAACTTTTATTACAATTGACCTTTTATTCCATGAGTGTCACTAACAACTCAGTACCAAATTATCAATGGGATGAGAATAAAATCATCTTTTTATCTTCAATGAGCGGGATTAAACTCTAAAAGATACCGTTAAGAATTGATAAAATTGAATTTACAGTATCTTTAACTTTAACTTTAACAACTAACTTTGTTTAAGTGACAACCTATGATGATGAGCTAAATCCCAGTATATTGAACGAATTTGCAACTGTGTCTTACAGGTATAATTGATATTAGATTATTCCACTGAAAGGATAATTTCCAGTGATCTTCTTGGCAAAGATAATACTGCCCAGTTTAGAACAGTACCATTAAAACTCTGAATTAGATATGTACATTTTTTGTTCATTTAAATTGTTCATTTTTTATTTACTTTTTCTCAGCTTTGCGCAATTCTTGCTTATAAGAAGCAACAGAGAAATAATCAGATTTATACACTTTTCGAGTCAGGGAAACAACGTTATCTTATTCATTTTTTTCAGATAAAGGTTTCAATGGTTTCCGTTTTAAATTGTGCATTGCATGGAGGCCACGCCGACAATGCCTAAAATTATCAACATTTTTACTGTGGATTGTCACATTTTTTATTAAATAGCTCATGGTAGAAAATATTATACGTTATATACATTGCATGGCTGCATGTCTTCTAGTGTTTAATTCTAAATTGGATTGAAATGTTAGAACATGTAAATGTAAATGTGAATCAAGATGTGGGGGGGGGGGGAAATTAAAGCATTATTTTCTAATTTATGTCACTCCCCCTTTAGATTGATTCTGTTTTAGCTAAATCCAAATTTTCCAAATCTCCAATTTTGTATTCCTTTAATGTTTTCCATGGAAGATATGACATCTTGAAATAAACATGTAAGCGTAATTTCAAATAACCCACCATGCAATGATGCAATGCCTAAGTTACAACGGTAACCTGTAATGGATTAACAAGGTCATAAACCTATTTTGTATTTATCTTTTCACAAGTGTTTGAATTACCGTAAAAGTTTCATGAATGGGGTTACGCAGTTTTGTGAATATCAATATTTTCTTATGAAATATTTTTTATTTCATTTCTTCATATACTCCATTTTTTAAAATCTCTTTAATCAAAATCTACACAAATGTTAAGACCCCAAAAAGGAAACTCGGGAGTTTCGTTCTACAATACTCTTTTAAATTTCGGGCTCTGTAGTGTACATACACAAAACACATTGTACAGTGTACAGTTACACACTATACAGTGTATAGTGTGAAATAAAGTAAATATTTCTTTCCTGTGACTTCTAGTCCTTCTAGAAAATAAATATAAATATCTTTCTGAAATATAAAGTTTGCAAATAAAGTGTTAAACAATTACAATCAATTACAAGTATGACATATCCTTGATCTGTGAAAGGTTTACCGGGTTCTGTTTGAAGGGTACTCTACACATAGAGGGTCACTTTATATTACCCTTAAAGTCCATTTATGTTCTGTATGTACTGTATGTACTGTATGTACTGTTCCTTACAATTTATAAATGTTTTTTAAAGGTTTGGTCATTCACTTGTTGGAAATCAGTTTATGACGACAAAGCGCCGAAGAGAGTCTAAAAAAAAATTGTCCTCATTCGATCTGAGCACTGCTTTCTTTACTAACGATCTGGTAAGAATTTGATCTGAGATGGGAAATTTTGTGTTCCATACCAATAATCCCAATCGTTTGGTCTCTATATTCACATGTGGGTACTTTTCAATCTTGCAATTTTTCCCTTCTCTTATTTGTGAACGCCAAAATTATCAGGCTTCTTATTGGCCGTTCGTTCTTGCATTTTACATTCTGATTGGTTGAATTTAGGTATTTTACTGCAGTTATCGAACACGATTGATGTAATCTGTAGATTAACAAAAGATAGTTGCTCCATATCCACAATTCAAGCCCATCTCTGTTTATATTTTATTCAATTGTGAATCTAATGATTATGTGTTTATTGAATATTTGATTTGATTTTACTAATGATGTGTTAAGATGAACTGTGTAAACACCACGTGTGGGGAAGATCCGGCTAATATTGGCAGGTTATGCATTATTTATAATCAAGCACTTACAACTTAACATTTTTAAACACTTCTAAACACTTCTAAACAAATCACGATGTTTTTGACCTTTAAACCTAATTTGAACAATACAATACTGTGGAAGATATCGTCGTTTTCTAGCTTGTAAATTGATTATAAATGGGGAGTAATTTAAAATTACTTTATTATTTTATTTTATTTTTTTTTACTTTTAGTTGCACCAACAGAACCTGTACCTTTTGGGCAGATGTAAGTATACTACTGTGTTGTAAGGCATATGTTGGTTTAAAAATACAGATGTAAGTACACTACTGTGTTGTAAGGCATATGTTGGTTTAAAAACACAGATGTAAGTATACTACTGTGTTGTAAGGCATATGTTGGTTTAAAAACACAATGCAAATAATTCACAATATTGTTTTGTATCCTATCCATCAGAAAAATGTTATCATTAACGAAAGGTTTCCCCAACTCTTTATTAAATTATATTGGTTGCATTTTATCTTCAAATATTCTTTCCAGTAAAGAATATTCCCTACTTTATTACCATACTGGCTTGGGAACCCAGCTTTGCCCAGGTTACTTGTAGTTACTCCCGCCATTTACCCGCGCTTGGTCTTAAATTACGATTTTAGCTATATATATATTATATATGAGTCGACTCACTCAATTTAGAATCAAGACCACGCTGAGAACATTCATGTGGTTTTCACGAGTTCCCAATTAAAGATCTGAGGGAAATCAATCAAGAGGTTTCTGAGTTATGATCGGACATCCAAACAAACAAACAGAAATTACTACTTCATACATATAGATGCATTGTACACCTTAGATTTTATTTTACTATTAAACATGGGAAACAAATGTAATCAACAATAACAGAATTTCTTTAGGAATTGAGGTTTTTGACACAATATTTAATATTTCACGCTTAGATTATTTGGTCTAACAGAATTCATAGTTTAAAATATCAAGTTGCATAGAAATAAGGATTATAAAATCAGGTTTGTGGCTCAGACTCATGTTCCTTTATGATTTGTGTAGAATGTTCTGTTTGGTTTGCTAAGTGTGCCGGCCCAGGCTGATGATGTTTTCCTCAGCAATGGTCTCATCAATAATCTTTTCCTATCAGCAGAACTCAGCTTTCTTAATGCAGGTCACATTAAAAGGGAGTGCTCCCTGAAAATGAAAGGGGGTACAGGCTTAATCCAAATGAAATTTGGATTTGAGCGAAACTTTTCGGAGGAAAGGGTATTGCGAACTCTTTCTTTAAATTTTCATTTTATTAGCAAAATCTGAACACTGAATTCTTTAATATTTGATATTAGAAAACAAAAATATTAAATCAAACTCAGAGGCTTTAAATATTTTCAATGATAATCAAAGTCTACATTTTTCAAATAACAAATTGGGATGTTGATTCCCTTTAGATTTAGGATTAAGAGAGTTATATATAAAATTCCAAAGCCCTATTATGCTAATCGTTTATTTTATTTCAATTCAAGTCTAGCATTGTATTGAAAAAGTGTTGTACATCAAAAGTAAAGACCCGCTAGCTTGGGAAACCCAGCACTACCCAGATTTTTTTATAGTTTACCGGGAATTTAAATTTTTCGCTATATAAGTCGAACTACTCAACTCAAAATCTCAAAACCAAACTAAGAACATTCCCCTGGGTCTCCCGAGGTTCCTCAATTTAAATTTGAGGCAAATCGGTTCAGGGATTCCTTAGTTATGATAGGAAAAACAAACAGACAAACAGAGATTACAGCTTTATATATATAGATATATGGCAGAATATATATTGTAGACCTGAATATATTTTTTATTTTATTTTATTTTATAGAACTGAAGGAAACAGCAGAGTCTTCAGATCTTAGTTCAAGAAATATTCAGAGGGAAACTCATTGATATCATTTAATCATTCTAAGATAAAATAATTTGAACAATCTGAGCTGAAAACTAATAAATTGAAGAGTAGTACAGTGTACAATCACTAAAATTCTCCCAAGAAGGATCTGATTTATTTTGTGTTATGTCCTGGTTTGCCTGTATGTCACTGTGTACTGTACTGCTTGAAAAATTAAAGTCGGGCCTGTACATGAAATAAACAATAAACACCATCTTTTCATTCCTATTCCCTGATTTTCTCATTGAGTTTAGGGGACGAGACCATGGTTTGCCAGGATACAAACAGTTTAGGTGAAAAACATTTAATTTCAGTTTACTAATACTGTCAGTTTTAGCTTGCACACGATCTTTCTCTACATCTATACTTGTATTTTACAACAGTGTACTTTTATATCTTCTTTTTTCATATTTAAAATTATATTTAAAAAGATTTTTATCAAAGAGCTACTTAGAACTTAAGACCCTACCAAACCACATTGCCATCTTAACTTTTGGGAGAGACAGAGTTTGGGAGGGAGGAGTGATTTGGGAATTTACTGTTTGTATTGCATTGTTAACATCATATAAATCTAGGAAGGAAAACAGATTATTTCCTCTCAAAAACTTGGGAAGCTTTAAATTAAATCACTGTTCTGAATGCATGAAAGATGTGCCTGGTAGTGAAGGGTAAGATATACAATATTATTCAGAGAATAGACCTCAAAGGATGACATTTTAATGAGAACCTGAAAATCTTTTCTGAAAAATGATTGAAACATTTACAAATGTTTAGTGTTTTCAACAAATAATAACATTTTTCAATGAAAATAATTTAGTATTAATTCCTCTTTTCCTGAACATAAATATTTCTGAGAACCGAAACTAAAGAAGGCGCAAGGTTTATGTTATAGATTAGTTTAAAGTTCTGTAAAAATAATGAATTCAAGATTTAAATTAAAAACCTCATGACTAAATTAACTATATTTGTGTTTACGCAAACCTTACTAGAACATGTATGTCACATTTTCTACAGAATCATTATTGATTGATAGATAATGAACAGCAGGGATTTCACTGGTTTAAATATTTAACTTCTCGGTTTTGTTGAGTTAACTATTTTAATTGTAAAATGGGTTATTTAAGTACCAATCAACATTGAAGCTGAAACTTAACATTTAAGCTGAAACTTAACATTGAAGCTGAAACTTAACATTTAAGCTGAAACTTAACATTTAAGGTGAAACTTAACATTTAAGGTAAAACTTAACATTTAAGCTGAAACTTAACATTTAAGCTGAAACTTTTCATTCTTTAGTTGTCGACTCTGTCTGTATAGTGAATATTGAAAAAAAATTTCAGAGAATTTTTCTGCAGCCCTTTTTACATCCCAGATAGAGAATGCGAGGCTTGTCTAGGTAGGTTCATATTTCACTCTTTAAAGCCAAATAGTCGTGAAAATTTCAGAAAGTCCTTTTAAGTTATCTTTTATTTAAATAGGCTTTTAAGGTGCTTTCTAGTAAAAATTTTAGATTTTAACTGTTGATTTTCTGAAGCCAACTTTTTTCAAAAATTTCAAGCAAAATATAGATATAGACTGGTATCGTATAAATACTTTACAATACTGCTTTCTTTGCAGATTATTTTTACTAAAAAGTTTAAAGTCAAAACCTTTGAAACCATATATTTTTCTATTATAAAGAAATTTTTTTCATGTTCTCTAATATTATTCTGTAATTTCAAGAGTTCAGAAACTTCAAGAAGTTTAATGATGACTTTAAGGAAAATAGGAATAAAAAAAATCATAAAAATAATTTCTAAATTCCAGATATTTCCAACTAAGTCCCATCTTTCCAATCTCTCCTCTAGTTCTGTATTATAGTGAGCTCCCAGTATCTTACTCTATCCTTCTTCCTTGTTCATATTCAACACTTTTTTCTTTTTCTGTTTTCCTCACCTTCACATAAATACTGGTTTCTTTCTTTGCCAAATCATCTATCATATCATCAGAAGATTTTCATTAAGGCATGAGCCAGAGTTCAACCCTTATATCAGAATATTTAGAGAGTTTTAAATCCTCATTTAAGTCCCATCCTTTGTGGTCAATCCTGAATTAAAACCCAGCTCTCTGTGAATGCCTCCCCCCGCCCCTCCCCCTGGTTTTTAAACCTCCTGTTTTAATGGCAGGCAACACATCCTTGTTCCTTCTGTGTTGAAAGGTAAGACACAATTTAGCTAGTCTATTTTGCGATACCATACATTAACAACCTTTATCATATATACCATTACCATCCTACCTGAATTAAAAATATAGAATATTGCAAGGTAATAAGGCAAGGACAGTTAATTGCTGTTGCGTATTCAATCTGGGCTGTGTTTGTAAACAAGAATAGATACATCAGTGTTCCTCTAGTATCCGAGGAGGATAAAAGCACTTAATGATAACTTTGATAATTTACATAATAGTTTCCTATCACCAAAATATTGCATTGATTTTTTATGTAAAAGATGGATCCCATGTCAGGCCGTGACATCCGTCTTGTGTTTACTTTACCGCCCAGAGACAGTACACTGCAGTACTAAAAATGAGTACACCTCTGAAATAAATATCTTTACATTTTAAATCTTTGTAATATGAAATGTCACAAAAGTCCTTGATCGTTAAACTTTAAAATGAATAATCAAAGGCATAGAGAAAAGAACTTTAGTACATTGAGGACAAAGACTTGTTAAATATTCATGATAGTTGTACAGATAGACAGTACAGACATATACTGTACTGCATTGCATTCAATTATATTGATTATAAACCAAATCTGCATAAAGATAAATTTATTAATATAATAATTTATTAATCCAAAATATCTGTTATAAACCTATGTTTAATATCAAAACTTACATTTCAGGAAATGTTCCAGTAGATGCGCCCCAAAAAACAGTAATGTTAAAAGAAAGAATCTTAAGAAATGTGGCGACTGTTTCCAAAAACAGATTATAGCGCTCCACACTTGTGAAAAACCTTACAGGAATGCTTTAGATGTCTAAGGAACGAAATGTTTTTCTTTCTTCATTTAATTGTTCTAAATTAAGTTATTTCTTTCAGTTTTTAATGGAAAAAACAGACATTTCATCTGATATTTACAGTTTTAAAATTTCAATGGTTAAGATTTTAAAAGTAATTAGTATTTCTTAAATTTACCATTTTAACCCTAAACAGGCTCTAGTTGGTTTGCCCTAGCACTCACATTTTTGACACTACAGGGTGTCCCACGAAACATGACAGTATGCTGGACGACTTGAATGTCGTCTTGATTTTTGATATAATTTGCTGCGTTTATTTGTCAACCTAATTTTAGAAGTAAATTTCTATAGATAATAATCACAAAATTTCCCTTGTCCTGCCATTTCCAAAATGTGGTCTGCCTTTTTTGTGCTTTCAATATTGCCCGAGATATGAAGAATTTCGTTCAGATTTCGACAATTTTGCTTTTATTTAACAAAATTGAAATCTGAACCAAACTCTTTATATCTCCGTTAATATTGAAAGCACAAAAAACGCAGACCACTTTTTGGAAATGCCAGGGCTAGGAGAATTATGTGATGATTGTTTCAAGAATCATACATGTTAAAGTAGATAGAAGACTAAATGTCACAAATAAATTCAAATACCAAAGACGACTTTCAAGTCGTCTTGCTATTGTCATGTTTCGTGGGACGCCCTGTATCACCTTGAAATTTTTTTTACTTTTAAGGAATAGTAATGTTAAAGGTTTTTTGTAAAACTTTTTTTTGTTTTTAAAGGAGAGACCGGCTATGTAACATATTTGAACTGAAAGTGCAGTATTGTAGAAATAAGCTTTAGGATTCATTTGTTACCAATGAGACATTTTTACGGTGTACAATATTTAAATAAAAGCGTAAAGACGTTTGTAATTTTTCACCAGTTGTTTCAGCCAGCAGAAGAAACGTTTTTTATAATTATTAAATAACTCAGACAAAACATGTAAAAAATACTAATTTAGAAACTAATTTGCTGTATAGGAATATATTTCTGAAAAGAAATTATCGATGAAAGCCATGTAGAACCATAGAATCGATAATTTCAATAAAACTTTTACCTTCGCTGTTTCTATAATTTTTTCGCAGATTTCTTCAAAATGTCGTCTTTAGAATTAGAAGAAAGAAAATCTCCAACAAGCGACCCTAGCTGAAAAATTTACACATTCTTGCGAGATTTAAAAATTAATTTTAATAACTTATTTCCAATGATAAAAGTTCATTATTTTCCTGTACATACATGTAACTACATACATGTACATACATGTACATACTGTAACTACATGTATGTACATACATGTACATACATGTACATACATGTACATACATGTACATACATGTAACTAGTTTAAAGAATAGTATTTGTTACATGCTTTGTTCATATTATTTAAGAATTGTAAAAATATGTTTCTTCTGTTGGCTGAAACAACTAATGAAATATTACAAACGACATAACGCTCTTATTTAACAATTGTACACCGTAAAAATGTCTCGTAGGTATCAAATTTGAACCCTTAAGTATTTCTCTACAAGACTGCATTCTTATTTAAAATGTGGTACATAGCCAGCATCTCCCTTTAATGCACAGGGTAAAGAACAGGGCGGTAAAATGTTTGGTTCGTGTTTAAAAAAAATCTAAAATAGCCCGTAACTTTTTTGTAACTTAAAATACAGATCTAAAAACTACATTTTTGTAAAGCCTCCCCCCCCCCCCC